AGCTTTCCAATCATGAAGACGCTACCGCGATCATACTGCGCTTATGTAGACTCCACAACGTTTCTCCTGCGATTTGCCACGATCGGCCACGTTTTCGGCCGCGCTTTGATCGTAGTAGAGCGGCGTCTATGTGTGAACGGGGGATTATCAAACTAAGTATATAATTAAGTATATATAATAAAAGCAATCTATATGTATGCTTGTATGTCGTTAATGCTTAATGAGGGTCCATCCGCCCTTTCAGGCACAAAATGCAGCTTTCGCTGTCGAGTACGGAATTTACCTCTATGCAATTTCCACGGAGTATTAGCCAAAGAGCCAAAAGTAGGTCACTGTACGGCGGTCAATGAGAACCTAAATGTACAGTAACCTGAGACAATATGAAAGGGTAGCCCTGAAAAGGGCTGTTGGTGCCAGCAAAAGGCCTGTCGTTCAAGCCGTCTCATCGTGCTAGAGGCTCACGCACCCTAGTACACAATCCTCGTCGACTCAGAGCCTACTTTGTAGGGCCACTCCCCTCGGCTTTAGTCAGGACACCGGCAGCTAACTTCATGCAAGCTTAGTCGTGCCACCTTAAACGTTACCCCGAGCTGAAGAAAACATACGAACTTGCCGTCTTACACGTAGCATTGGTTCTTCAATCATCTGCCGATGCCATTTGTCTTCTCAACGACGTACACTTACCGAGGGAAACAAGTACAAGCAATCTACATTGTACCTAGCTATGTATCTATATATACTCAACTCAACTCATACATTCGTGATATAGGCCACATAAAAGTATATATTAGCCGCAGTTTTTATACCCCCAAAAACGAAGTTTGGGGGGTATATAGGAGTCACCCGGTGGTCGGTCGGTCGGTTGGTCGGTCGGTCGGTCCAGACGTCCGTTGCATTTTCCTTGTCCGGAGCATAACTTGAAGACTAATGATTGGAATTCAATATAACTACACACAATGGTCAAGCACATTGAGAGGAAGAACCATAACTCTATCTTGACTAATTAAAGAGTTATTGCCCTTTGTTACTTTTCCTTGTCCGGGGCATAACTTGAAAACTACTGGTTGGAATTCAAAACAACTTCATACAATTGTCTAACACAATAAGGGGAAGTGCAGTGAACAAGAACCATAACTCTATCTAAAGTAATTACAGAGTTATTGCCCTTTGTTACTTTTCAATTGCTTTCTTTTTTTTTTGTCCGGACCATAACTTGAAGACTAATTGTTGGAATTCATTATAACTTAATACAATGGTCAAGCACATTGAGAGGAAGTGCAGTGCACAGGAACCATAACTCCATCTTGACTTATTACAGAGTTATTGCCCTTTGTTACTTTTCCATTCCTTTCTTTTGTCCGGACCATAACTTGAAGACTAATGGTTGGAATTCAATATAACTACATACAATGGTCAAGCACATTGAGAGAAAGTGCAGTGCACAAGAACCATAACTCTATCTTGATTAATTACAGAGTTATTGCCCTTTGTTTCTTTTCCTTGTCCGGGGCATAACTTGAAAACTATTGGATGGAATTCAAAACAACTTCATACAATTGTCAAACACAATAAGGGGAAGTGCAGTGCACAAGAAACATAACTCCATCTTGACTAATTACAGAGTTATTGCCCTTTGTTACTTGTCCATTGCTTTTTTTGTCCGGAGCATAACTTGAAGACTAATAGTTGGAATTCAATATAACTTCATACAATGGTCAAGCACATTGAGAGGAAGTGCAGTGCACAAGAACCATAACTCCATCTTGACTAATTACAGAGTTATTGCCCTTTGTTACTTTTCCTTGTCCAGAGCATAATTTGAAAACTACTGTTTGAAATTCAATACAACTTCATACAGTTGTCAAGGACATTAAAAGGAAGTGCAGTGCACAAGAGCCATAACTCCATTTTGACAAAATACAGAGTTACTGCCCTTTGATACTTTTCCTTGTCCGGAGCATAACTTAAAAAGTACTGGTTGGAATTCAAAACAACTTCATACAATGGTCAAGCACAATAACAGGAAGTGCAGTGCACAAGAACTATAACTCCATCTTCAGTATTTATAGAGTTATTGCCCTTTGTTTCTTTTCCTTGTCTTTCTGGACTTATTACAGAGTAATTCAATAAAACTTCATCAATGGCCAACCACATTGAAAGGAAATGCAATATACAAGAACTACAACTATCTTTAATTGCCTACAACCATAACTCTATATTTCAATTCTTTTACAAGGTATTCTGTTACTAGTAACATCCTCATTTCTGAAGCAGTCTTGTGGGGTATTAATCACATTTAGTGATAGTTCTAGTTTTTGTTGTTGTTTTTTTTGGTTAACGGGACAATTAAGGTACGATTTTTTAAACTTGGAAAGCGTTTTACCACACAAAAACTGAACTCACAGCAAAAACATCTGTTATATCTAAGTGATACAGTTTGTCATGCACCTGTAAAGTTGAAATGTTCTTGAAACTATGATAAACGGCTTTTAGTATACATGTATATGTAGGCCTTTAATTGTTTAAAGTTACATTAAATAAATTTCATAAAAAACTAAATAGCGACATTTCATTAATAAATTGGGTTTTACATCGACTCCAGGTCTTATTTTGGTGTCCAAACAACCAAAATGAGTTTTATTAGCATAAAAATAGGTAACCTCATTGTGGCGAAATGGGAAATACAATTTCTGTTTGCATGAGAAACTCCGCCTTCGGATCATCCGTACATCAATATTAAATCAACAATCATGACTATAAGTAGCAGTCCTAATTTAACGGTATATTTCCGCATTGTAACGAATGTTTTCATACAAATTTAATCTTTTTACGAGATTATTACTTTTACTGAACCCCAGGTTTAGTGCACCGTGAAGCTTAAACGGTTAAAGTGTAATTGCACAAGAAAATATCACATTTGCTGTGTTCGGATAGCAACTATAAAACTGTGACGTAGCGCATACACGAGCTCATTATAGTCTTCATTTGCATGTTAAAATTCGTATACGAACTTTAATTAGTGGTACCGTGGGGTTTCCCGTTTAAAATCCTTATTTATGAACAATATTTGATGAGATTTACAACAATACTATTAAACATGTTAATGAAACTGTAGAATGTTTGATTTTTAGGCCGACGGCAAAATATTTTTACATATTTATTTAATGTTACTTTACAATAATTGCCCCAGTTTACAAAAAAGGCCCAAAATGCAAACCCAGCAATTATAGACCAATCTCCCTCACATGCATAGCGTCCAAATTGATGGAGCACATCTTAGTGTCCAATATTATGTCCTTTTATGATAAACACAACATCCTTAGCCCCTATCAACATGGCTTCAGGTCAAAACGGAGTTGTGAGTCCCAGCTAGTAAGCTTCTCCCAGGAAATTCATGACAATCTTGAAAGTGGCCAACAAACTGATGTCATAGTCATGGATTTCAGTAAGGCATTTGATAAGGTGGACCATCACAAACTTGTGAGTAAACTAGAAAGATTGGGTATAAAGTATGAGGTTACAAATTGGGTCATTCCTTCCTTAAGTCACGCTCCCAGCAAGTTGTAGTTGAAGGTAAAAAATCAGGAATCCTACCAGTTTCTCTCAGGTGTCCCCAAGGCTCGGTATTAGGTCCCTGCCTTTTCCTTTCTTACATAAATGACCTCCCAGATAGTGTCAAAGGTAAGGTTAGACTCTTTGCAGATGATACTGTTGTCTACCTAACCATCAGATCTAAACAAGATGCCCAAACCCTCCAAGATGACCTTCATGCTTTAGAAAAATGGGAAAAAGACTGGTCCATGGAATTCAACCCTGACAAATGTGAAGTTCTCAGGATAACAAGAAAAAGAAACCCTGTAATATTTCCTTATACCCTCCATAACATCCAACTAAACTCAACTCAAGAAGCGAAATACTTAGGAGTCACTATTAGTCAAGACCTTTCATGAACCAAACATATAAACAACATCACATCTAAAGCAAATAATTCCCTCAGATTCATTAGAAGAAATGTTAAAACTCCAAGTAAAAAGATAAAAGAAACTGCATATAAGACCTATGTTAGACCTCAGGTTGAATATTGCTCCATAGTTTGGCATCCTTGGCAGAAATACTTAATTTATAAGATAGAGCAAGTACAAAGATCAGCTGCTAGATACATTTTTAATGATTATGACTATACAGGTAGTGTCTCAAAAATGATAAATGATCTTAATTGGCAAACCCTTGAACAGCGTCGAAACATCAGTGCTGTAACCTACTTGTATAAAATACAAAACAACATTGTTTTTGTTGACCACCAACACCTTACTCAAACAAGAAATCTGAACTACCTGATACCCTACTCGAGGACACAATATCATCAAAATTCTTTCTTTCCTAGGAGCATACGCCTTTGGAATAGCCTTCCCCTAACTGTTCAGTTCAGCCCCAGTTTAAACATCTTTACTGAGAGGCTTGACCCATTCTATAAATTCTAAACTGCACACTCTGTTTTTAAATTAATAGTCTTGTAGAACTTTTATTCTTTTAACTTTTTAATTTGCATATAAATAAATTCTTTTATTAACAGTTCCCTGACAACGCGCCTGCTAGTCATAATCAGAATTGATTGTTAAGCAGTATGATGTAGATGTAGATGTAAAGGAGTGTTTTATAAGATTTCAACTAAATCAAACTAAAATAAATTCGTACAGACTAAAAGTAATTGTTTATAAAAAATCAAAATCCTGTTTTTAATTCACACAAGTAAGCTCAATGTAGGTAGTATATCATATATATCGAATTTCTAATTATACATACTATATATAGTTAGCTAATTTCAAATGAAAGCTTTTAAAAATGGAAGATCGATTTCATGTACTTTGTATCATGCACTGTTTTAAGTAGATTAACTTTTAATATTATTATTATTATTATTTTGTTATATTCAATAATAATTTGGCTTTTTTACTATAAGAGGCTATGAGTGTGTGACTAAAATATAGAATTAAAAAATTTAGTACTCGAGAACCTTATACACGGACTCAATGAACGAGATGGCTGTAATGCTGTCACCGTTCAGGAAAATAGTAAATATATGAACTTGAATTTCTAGAAAATACTCTGATTAAGAAAAGTTGGCAGCGAAAGTGATTCGTTTGAAATGGAAGACGTTGACAGGAAGAATGCGAAAGTGGCCATTATCGGAAGGTAAATTTGTATTACCGCATAAATAATATCACTTTTACTTTCAAATAAACTAGAACGGTGAATATATAAAATATTTGCCCGTGTGATTAAACCGAGTAAGTGATTATTTGGGGAAATGATCAATTTGTACTGTTCTTTTCAAAAAATAGAATACACAACTTCACAGCATGTTGTGATGATAAAGTGTCTAAGAGAATAGCTTATATATATACATGTAATATGGAACTTTCTTGCATATCGCACAAGTTTATCTACTGTTCGAAAACCTAGCTAAATGCCGTTTTCCGGTACTTTCTGTACATAGCTCTGGGGAATTCACCTAATGGAGTGTAATAGCGAACTCAATGTTTTCGGCCTTTTTTTTAAATTAAACTGAAATAAAACAGTTATTTCTTTATAAGAAAATAATTAAATATCATTGTATGAATAATTCCATACAAAAAATAAAGTAAATACACAAGTTTACGCAGAAAATAACCTTATTTATTATGGAAGATTCCACTACGTCTGTTTGAATTTTATTGATTTTCATTATAAACAATTTATTTTTTTGAATAATTTGCAATAGATAGTAAACGAATATTGATAATTTTCAAAAACATTAATTTTTTTCACCTTAAACGGTTAAATAATGATAGAAAAAGAGACATATCTCGTTACTGTGTTATGTACTTCATTTGGTGTAATTCCCCACAGCTAAAACGGTAACGTACCGGAAAACGGTGTTTAGCTAGGTTTTCGAAAAGGTCAATTTGTCTCTGAGTACTGCCAACCCATCTCGCGAGTGTTATAGGCAGGAATAGTGCACGTCGGGTGTGTTAGTGAAAGGTGTGAGAGAAAGTAAAAATCTTAAAATGAACATGATAAGATCAGGACAGTGAGAGACATTGAAAACATGTAGTCATTGTTAAAATGTAAAAAGTAAAAACACAACAAGTCAACTAATACTGTATCTTAACCACTGCCTGTTTGTATTTATCTAGATCAGGCAGGGTGACAATGTTCCTTGCGAGCTGGTTCCAAAGTGTGATACAGTGGGGGAAAAACGAGAACAAATGGTAGTCTGATGTAACCTGTATTTTCCTAAGAGAGAGGGGATGCATATGTCTAGTAAGCCTAGATGGAGTTTTAATGTAGGTGGGAAGGCTAATTATTAATGGCTACTAGTGTTGGGTATCGGACTCAAAAATCACTATCGATAATCGGACCACCACAATCGATTGTCTGCCGATAGTACCATCAAGTTCGCACTTATAATGGCCCTTTTTTCTTTAGTTTAATTTGCTCTTTGAATTCAAAACAAACAACACAAATACCTCAATATACTATTTTGTGACAGTCAATTTTTGTAATATACAACTTTATGGCAGTCAATATTAGTACTAGTCAACAGGTCAAAATATCAATGAGTAGTATTGAAGATCACTAATTTAACTACAGTAGATATATAAATTTATAATGTTATGATACTGCAAACTATAATTTTCTAAAGTAGTATTAACCATGTAAAATAGGTTTTGAATACAAAAAATACTTTAAAATTGTCTGGAATTAAAGAGATTCGGTCGGGAAACTTCTTTTTGACTGCATGTAAAAAAGTTACGCCATAGGCAATTCAGCGGTGGTAGAACATTAAATAATCGATTTTTAAAAAGGACTATCGATTGTTGCCGATTATGGTGTGGTCCGATTAGTTATCGATTTTCAGAGACAATCGGGACAACACTAATGGCTACTAGATTATGGTAAATTTTAAAAAAACATAATAAGTCCAAAGTCTAGTCTGCGATGCTCGAGAGAACGCCAGCCAAGATCTTTCTGCATGGCTGTAACTGATGACAAGGGGGAGTAGTCATGTTTTACCCAGAGTATAGCTCATCTTTGGACCATCTCTATTTTTTGGATGTTTGACTGTGTGTAGGGGCTCCAAACAGTTGATGCATACTCTAGCTGGGGTCTTAATAGGGCTTTATAAGCTAGTTGTTTTACTTTTTCATTTTTTGTATTGATATTTCGTTTTATGAATCCTAAGTTTTACTTGCATTTGATGTAATTCTTGAGATGTGTGTGTTGTAGTTTAGGTCTGCGGACAAGTCAAGGCCAAGGTATTTTGAGCTAGGAACTGATGTTAAAGCTTGGCCATGAAGGAAGCACTTGTTGTTGATGACTTTTTTGTTTTTAGTGATGTGAAGGACTTGACATTTTGAGGGGTTGAATTCCATGTCCCACTCCCTTTCCCAGATTTGCATCTAATTGAGATCCTCCTGTAGAGAGTGTGAGTCTGAGGACGAGTTTATAGTAATGTAAACCACAGTGTCATCTGCAAAGAGGCGAATTTGAGACTTGGAGACAGAAGATGGAAGTTCATTAATGTAGATCAGAAAGCAGAGTGGGCCAAGGACAGAGCCTTGGGGGATGCCAGAATTTACGGGGACTTCTGTAGAGTGTTCATCATCCAGTACAACAGTTTGGCTTCGACCTATCATTAAGGAAGGTGTCCAATTGAGAATTTTTATGGAGACACCATTTTTCTTGAAAGGGTAAGGAGTAATTTACGGTGATTTACTTTATCAAAGGCTTTGCTAAAGTCAAGGAGAATAAGATCTGTTTTTTTGCCTGCTGAGATGTTGTTGACAAGGGAGTCTGTGAGTAAAATAAGCTGTGTTTCACATGAACATTTCTCCTTAAAGCCATGCTGATGGTTGAAGAGAATGTTGTGATTACTGAAGTGTGAAGAGAGATGTGAAGCGACAATGTGTTCAAGCGTTTTGCAAAGGATACAAGTTAATGAAATCGGTCGGTAATTGGCTGGATCTGTGCTGTCACCTTTTTTGTAAATAGGGCAAATATAGGCTTTGGTCTAGTCAGAGGGAATTGTACCAGAGGATAAAGATTTTTGGAATAGAATTGTGATGATATCTAAGATTTCATTCCTTAGTTCTTTGAGAACAACTGGCAGAAAGTGGTCTGGGCCTGCAGCTTTATCTATCTTTAGGTTGACAAGAAGTTTCAGCACCCTGTCTTTGCTGACAGATATATCATCCACTTGAGGGTATTTACAGGATTTTTTTGGGGTCAAGGTAAAAGAGTTTTTGCAGGCAAGTTTGTTTTAGAGACAGTGGAGAGGCACTGGAAAAAACTGATTGGAAAGTGTGTTCAATATATTGGCTACTTACAGCAGTGCTAGAAAATCCTGTCTTACACACCCAATGTAAGACAAGACGCATGCTTTAAATGACATCATTGCCGCGTGCCTTTTATTAATGAATTGCGTAATAAGGAGGACGTCATTTTAGCGTTATGAATGAAGTTGTAAGTTCATACGCAACTATTAGAAAAAAGTGCGTAATGAGAATATCAGCAAGAAAAAGAATCAAACACCGGCTGTCGGTACAGACAGGAATACCTAGCTCTCGGGAAACTGTTTAGCCGAAACTTAGCATAGCCTTGTTACTACCGTAAACAGTTACCCTCAAGCTAGATATTTTAGGTCTGTGCCGGCAGCCAGTGTAAGCTCTTATAATATGACTTATTGTACTTGGGCATTTTCCAACTGTTTTGGGAAAAAAGTCTCTTGGCATTAACTGTGAAAATTGGATAAAATTATTCATCATTTTGGGAAATTTGAGATTTTGGAAATGTACCTTATACATGACTTTTAAGCATTTTAACATGTGTGTTTGATTTATATATAGCCTGCCACTTCCTTTAAAAAGAAGTCAAAACAGTTCATTTTTCCCAAAGTTCAAACAGTTTGAATTTTTGGTAAGAAGTTGGGTTGGTCTTTCTTAGGTCCCTTGTTATATGATGAAAATGCTCTTTGTACACATTGCCAGTAATCAACTAAGGATTGTAGCAAGCTAAATTTATTTGGTGTAGGAGATTTAGAAATGAAATTTTAAATGGGATACTCATACTGTCTGAGAAATAATAGACTGATAAACAAAATAACTTTGTATCAACATTGAAGTGGCCTTAAATCGTTTCATATAATAGTCAAATAAAAAGAACTCAGGTGGAAAATAAAATTTTCCGACGCTAAAATACACAATAAGGAAACCCCTCGATAGCTCTTATCTTGTTCTATCTGTCCACTCTCTATATTTAAATTAGTAAAGGGGCTGATTTGTTTCCTGGTCTTCTATTTTTAGAAATGAACGTTACTGACGTCCTGTAAATAGCTCTCGGGACACACTGCCTTGAAGAAGGCTGTCCAGTTATATCATTTTTTTGATGCACTTTTCCAAGATAAAATTACTGAAATAATACTTAGTTTGAAACAACACAGAACTGTATTTACAACAGAAAATAAAATCTGAAGGCTGCTAAAGTCATTAAATCATTTAATTATAATGAATTAGGTATATTTTTAGAGCATTATGTTCTTATGATGATTAGTCATTTGTTTTTGATGATGTAAATTTATAAACCATAGACTTTATCTCCTGTGCTAAAATTAAACAATAATAGTCTATGAAATATCTTTTTTTTTCAATTTTTCTTAAGTTAATTTATCGTACAGGTAATCTTATACAATGAGATACTAGTTAATGATAGAAAATACGTATAAAATTCTATATTAAATTTCCTATATGTAGTGATGAGATTTAATAAAGTGAAGTTTGTAGGTGCTTTAGTTATGTTCTGTTATGTTAATTTTACGTTTATGTAATCAATTACTACTTGAATTTGTTCATTAAATGTTTAATGATAAAGTTAAAGAAAAAAATCAAAAAATCTTTGTCTCAACGGTTGAAGCAATTTATAAGCCTCAAGCAAGAGACAGTTAACCTTTGACCTGCTGTCAGGAACTGATTCTACCTCTGTGACCAGTGCAGACCAAAATCAGTCAGAACATCCTTGGTCTGCACTGTTTGCTATTCAGTCAGTACTAATTATGATCTTTTTCCAAAAGAATGATGAATGAGTTTGTCTGGGATGATAGATGGACAAGTATTCAGTAAGTTAAGGGTTAACATATTTGGTAAAAAAATTTCTTTAGCATCATTAAGTTTGCTGTATAGTCATACACTTGTATCTGTTCAGCTTAGTATCCCTACATTTTATTCAGCACATTTTTATCTTACTGTAACCATACTTGTTCACTGTAACCAAGATTAAATATTTCTTTAAGTAGGTCACTACTTAAAGTCAGATAAACCCATCAGTTAATGATGTCTCTGATACCCCAGGGTTAAAAACTAGTTGTATATCAGATATTGTGGTCAGTTGGTTATCAAAAATACTGTAGCCATCGGTCAGCAAGTTTCATGAGTCTATTTAAACAAATCATTTTGATATCAATGTTTATTCTGCTGAGCTTTGCTAATGTGTTTTATCTAATAAAGTTGTCATATTATATATATAGGAAGAAGTTGATTTTCTGATCAATGATTTGTACTTTTTACATTTTTTTTATTATTTCTTTTAGATTACACTCAAAACCAACATTTACGTTATGCAATAAAGATATTAAAAGATGGTTAAAAGAAACACATGTCAAACATTCACATAAAAAAAAAGGTTTTCACAGAATTGAGCATTGTGGTAACTTTAAAATGGGGTGTATATTTGGATATGTACAATAGTTTTAGCCAGGATTTTGGATAAAAAATATTGGTCCTTAGATTGGTAAATGTTGGTATGTGGGCACTTGGGTTGGCAGGCATAAACATTGCAATTAGTTTATTTCTTATGTGGAATGAACCAAACTTTTACAGAACTATTGTTTACAAATACCCTGGTGCATATTGTCATAGTTTTGTGATTTAATCATTTTTAGCAGAATTATAGTCCTTTTGTTGTTGAGTTTTTATGTGTAAGTTTGATAGAACAACACACTTTTGTGCACATTACCTCTGACATTACTCAAGGGATTTCAACTAATTATTATTGTAAGTAACAGATTTTGTGACAATTTCTGTCACTTGTTTTCTAAAAAGCTGCAATAAAGCCAGCTTGCAGGTTACCCATAAATTGCACTTATATATTTTTATTTTCTCATATTTATTGATTTCAGTGGATTGATTGGGCGGAACTGGGCTATGATATTTGCTGGGGCTGGCTATCGTGTATGTTTATATGACGTTGAACCAGGTCAAGTTAGCCGGGCACTAGATGCCACACAGCATACACTTGCTGGGTACCAGGAGAAAGGTCTTCTAAGGGGTCAGGGGAGTGCCGTAGAGCAGGCAGAGAGAATAAAAGGCACAATAAATCTTCAGGAATGTATTAGTGGTGCTTTTTATGTTCAGGTAAACTGTCTCTTCAATATAGTGCTGCATTCTACTGTATTCAATTATATTTTGTTAATTTTGTTTGGAAATATTGTCATGATAAAAGTAGGACTCAAACCCATTATCTCTAGGTAGAGAGGCAGTCACCTTAACCATTATATGAGCCGGGTCATGACAAAACCAACATAATGGGTTTGTGACCAGCATGGATCCAGACCAGCCTGCGCATCCGCGCAGTCTGATCAGGATCCATGCTGTTCGCTGTCAGTTTCTCTACTTGTAATAGAGTTGATAAGCGAACAGCATGGATCCTGATCAGACTGTGCGGATGCGCAGGCTGGTCTGGATCCATGCTGGTCGCAAACGCACTATGTTGGTTTTGTCATGACACGGCTCATATGCAGAACACCTCCCTCTTTGATAAATAGAAGTTATTTAAATTGCATGGATGTCACAATAAAAAATTTTAAGTATTGAACATAAAGTTTTGATCATTATGACAATGTTTACTATTACATAACTTTGCAAAACATGATGTAATCAAAGATCAAAAGAAGATTTGATTGTTAAAACTATGAACATTTTATAAAATATTGTAGAAAATTTCTCGACACATTGTAGAGATTATGAGTATTTTATGAAATATTGTAGAAACTGTGAACATTAATTATGGGATATCTTACAGAAACCTGGAAGATTTTATGATATATGATATATTTATGATATATTGAAGGAGTGTGTACCAGAAGATTTGGACTTAAAGAAGAAAGTATTTGGACAGATAGATGATCTAATGGATGATGATACAATAGTGGCAAGCTCTAGTAGTTGTCTAACAGCCACCATGTTTGCTGAAGATTTCAAACATAGACAGAACATGTTAGTTGCTCATCCAGTATGTATGCTTGTTGTGTCTTGTTTGTAGATGTGATGTTAGTTATTTGATGTTAAGTAAAGAAATTCTTGAAATTTTGGAGGCCACAATATACTTCCAGAAATTATAAAGGAGTATATATCATGTATAGTGTTATTTAGTTTATTTTTCTTCCTTCCTGCATTCCTTCTTTTCTTCCATATCTGCTACTTATATTATGTTTTCTTAGTGTCATCTTTTATTGATCAATGGCTTGGATATTTGTTTTGTAGATTACCTTTATGGATTTCTCTCTTAAGTTTTGAGTTTTTTTCAATTTCACCAGGACTGAATCAACATTACAAAGTAAATGAAGACATATCCTACTCACCCTGGCTTCCATGATGCTCAGATTTCTTATTAAAATTTTTGTCAAATAAAATACATTTTACTAAAATTACTTAATTTGATAAAAGATTTTCTTTAAATTAAAAAGAAAATGGTCCTTGTCATCACCCACATCATACAAAAACCAACAAGGAAAGAATATGTTTGATATTGAGACACTCATTATTATGTTTTATATGATGAGTCATGTTTATGTTTCAGGTAAATCCTCCATATTTCCTACCCCTAGTAGAGATAGTCCCTGCACCGTTTACATGGTTGAATGTGATACAGAAAGTGAGGTCATTAATGGAGGAAATCGGTCAGTCACCTATCACACTGAAGTATGAGGCTCGAGGCTTTGCCCTCAACAGAATACAATATGCTTGTATAAATGAATGCTGGAATATGTATAAGGTAAAAATTTATAAGATATAAATCTGTGGGGCTCTTGTCTAATTTGACATAACCTTTGAATATTACTTGGAAGTGATTGAAATATAAAACTTGCAGTTTTCATTAAGTGAAGCCTGAAAAGATAAATTTCATCTGAAATTGTTTATCATAAAGAAAATAAAATTTTTGATTCTTAGATGATTTAATGTAAATGACTGTGTATCATTTTGTTTAAATTTCTCATGTCTATAGACAGGATTGTTGAGTGCAGAAGATATCGACAGAGTATGTACAGAAGGCCTCGGGAGAAGATATGCTTTCATCGGACCTCTAGAAACTATGCATCTTAATGCACATGGTAATTTATTTTAAGTTTTTCTTTCATCTGACAGATTTAAAAATTAAAAATTTTGAAATTGATTAGCAGAAATAAATCTTTTATATAAAAAAAAAAACAATTATATTATTTTATGGTTTACAAGATGAGATAATATGCTGTGACTTGTTTTGTGCATCATAGAGTTAACTCCCTTATTACAGTCAGTGTCAGCATAATTTATTATTCCTGAAATCTTACTGAGATATTCATTGTAGTGAAACTGAGCATTGTGACAGGGAAATTTTGTGATAAATTGGCACCCTTGTTGACGATGTAGACCATATTTTATATGCTTACTGTTTACTTATGTTAATTGTATATCTAGACAAGAAATAATGTATTAAATGATAACTTTATTTACCTATAGGTGTCGAGGATTATTGTCAAAAATTTGCCCAAGGTGCCTACAATGTACAGCAGGAAACGTTCCACCCACTTCCTGTTCTCTATGACCTAAAGACTGCCAAAAACGTGCAGGAAGAACTTGAGAAAAAAGTGCCATTAGAAAAACTGCCTGCACGTCGTGCATGGCGTGATAACATGTTAGCTGGCCTAGCAAAGTTTAAAGCTGAATCAGAAAAAGATGACTTCAAGTGATTGACTTACTAACTAGATGCAATAAGATATGTAAAGCAGGCTTTAAAATGCAGTTTTTTTTTAATCCAAACTATAAAGCTTTGCTTAGCTTTAATAACTAATTATTTTAAAGCTTTAGTAACACTATTTTAATAACTTTTAAAAAATAATGTGCCATTGTGAAGTCAAATCGAAATTAAAGTAATTTTGCAATTAATTAAATCTGTTGAACAAAATTTAAAAAGATTTTAATCCAAACTAACGCAGATACTGTGCCATGTTTAAGGTGGAGTCATATAGTATGATCAGAAAAATCTTACGATAATGTATGTAGATACTTGGGTAACTGGAGTAGAAGATTTAGATTCTATATAGTATTATATAAAGTAGTAATGATCTCATTTACCTTGCCAGTGTAAATTTGTCACGTCAGTATATAGATTAGAAAAATAGAAGTATAGAGTAGACATCCTTAGAATAGTATTAACTGTTACATTAAGTTTTTGTGGATAACTTTCAGGAAATTTTGTATTTTTTGCCATATTTCATCATCTGTACATCTATAATTTAAATTAATTATGCCCCCACTTCGAAGAAGAGGGGGTATATTGCTTTGCACTTGTCGGTCCGTCCCGTCCGTCCGGTCCGTCGGTCCGTAGACCAAATGGTTTCCGAGTGATAACTAAAGAACCCTTAGGCCTAGGAACTTCAAACTTGGTATGGTGATTGGTCATGACCAGTAGATGACCCCTATTGATTTTGGGGTCAAGGGGTCAAAGGTCAAGGTCACATTGACCTTGTATGTTAAAACGGTTTCCGATCAATAACTAAAGAACGCTTAGGCCTAGGAACTTCAAACTCGGTATGGTGATTGGTCATGACCAGCAGATGACCCCTATTGATTTTGGGGTCAAGGGGTCAAAGGTCAAGGTCACATTGACCTTGTAGGTAAAAACGGTTTCCGATCAATAACTAAAGAACGCTTAGGCCTAGGAACTTCAAACTTGGTATGGTGATTGGTCATGACCAGCAGATGACCCCTATTGATTTTGGGGTCAAGGGGTCAAAGGTCAAGGTCACATTGACCTTGTAGGTAAAAACGGTTTCCGGTCAATAACTAAAGAACCCTTAGGCCTAGGAACTTCAAACTTGGTATGATGATTGGTCATGACCAGTAGGTCAAGGGGTCAATGTCATAGTGACCTTGTACTTAATGACCGTTTCTAACCAATAACTCAACAACTCAAGTTGCCTTGGTTGATATTTTTATGTGCTTTTGGTATACACATTTGAAGGTCTTATGTAATATAACAACTTGGCTGTCATTAATGAGGCCTATGTGATTCATAAAATTTATGTATATATTATTTGGTAAGATTTTTAATAACTTTAATTGCTGCACACAACCTATGGGGTCACAATAATTATTACCTTGTGACTAGTCATGACCAGTAGATACTAGATAACCCTTATTAATTGCTTGTTCACTGGGTCAGAAGTCATGCATAATAACCTGATCACATGACAAATTGGGTGCCGATAGGGGGCATACATGTTTTACAAACATATCTTGTTTCATTAGACTTTGACCAATTTCATTATTGATTAATGTGTTACATTTTAAAATTTACCCCAGTTGCACTGTTATAGTTACCTTTAATGTTTTTGGTTTATTTTTGATATGTATTTTTATTACAAATTAATAAAGTCCAATTTTGATAAAACATGGGAATTTTTGGAGATTTCTAGACTTGTTTTTTAAATTTTACATTTTACTTTTCTCATGTTATTGTCTCTTTTTTGAAGCTTTTAGATCTCTGAAATTCAGTTGGGCAATACAGGACCACCAGAGCCCTCTTGTTAAATGTGAGCAAGAATGTTTGGGCTGCAAAACTATTATGCTATTTCAAATGCTTGCTTTAACATCAGCAATAAGTTCAGGGATGTTTTATTCATGTTTATATTGTCCCGGTGTAGAAATATTGTAACCTAGAGCTTTATACTGTATCTTCTGTTTTATATATTAAAGTGTAGAAGTTTTTGTTATCACATTGTAGGGCGATTTTCATATGAAATATATAAATGTTATTATAATTGTTTTGACATGTCTATTTTTTAAATGTACATATATTATACATGTATATTTTAACAAGGATTTCATCATTTTCCATTTGGAATATGTTAATCATCTAATTTTTTATTTGATTTGATTTAATGCTCATTTTGTCTATAAAAGAACAATTTTATTTTTTCAGACTTAATGTTTCTTTGTATTTTCATTGTAAGACATTGTATTGAATTTTAACCGGCTTGGGAAAATACTCAAACTTATGATATTTATAATTCTGGCTTAACTATCACATTAAATTTGTTTTCCCGTTGTACTCCATATATGTTGAATGTTCAAATAACAGACATTAACTGGGTATAATTTTGTAGTTATTTGGTTACCCACCAAATATTCATATGTAAACAGGTATGTTTAAGCAGAGACTATTTACCATTTTAAACAAGATATTTATTATTTTATTTCATCCAGTTAGAACCGATTCTATACTCATGGCTTTTGTATTATATTAGTTATTTATATATGTGGTAGGGTAGTTCCAAAATTTATTTGTGAAAGTGTCAAGTTTTTGACTTGAATACTGTATATTTCACTACAGAGCTATAATATAATTATATAAATCTCTGTTTTCACTATTTTAAGTCAGATGTTTACTTTTTTCTTGATTAATTTGAACAAAGTAAATATGGTACTGTCCTGTTTATATAAAGGGCTTTTAGTGTAAACTTGATGGAAGTAAGTAGCTAACAGTATTCTAGTTATATTGAACAAGGCCTGTAGACTTGCTGAGCTCTATATTAGTAGGGTATGCATGTCACTCTGGCCAAAAAATGTTCACCATCTTTAAAGTATATTGAAAACAAGGGGACACAAATTTTTAATTTGATATTGAATGATAAAAACAAGCGTGCATTTAGCACATATACATGTTATATATGTTTGTGGCATTTACTGTCAGTAACTGTGATAATATATGTGTGACAGTCTCTTGTTGGAGTCTCTTCAAGATTCTATGTTTCTCTTGTTATTAATTGTTATAATCAGACTCTTATGTAAATAAAATGTATTAAGAAATCACTTTTTCTTGTGCATTTCACATCTGCATACCTGTCTAATATTAATTGAAACAAAGTATCTTATTACATACATGTATATATATTTTATGATACAATTACTCACCAATTATAACCATGGAGGGACATAAATTTCCTCATGAGAGGTCATGTATAAGTTAGATTGCGGCAAGTTAGATTGCGGCAAGTTAGATTGCGGCAAGTTAATGGTTCTACTGTAGTGCTAGCCTGGGATTCAGGTGTTGTTATTTTTTCTGCTTATTGTCCCCCCGCCTTTTCGAAGAAAAAAAGGGGGATATAGAAATAGGCTTTGTCCGTCCGTCCGTCACAATTTCGTGTTTGGTGCATAACTGTCATTTATCAAAGGAATTTTCAAATAACTTGGCACAAATGTTTGTTATAATAAGACGATGTGCCTTGCGCAACAACCAGATCCCAAACTACAGGGTCAAGGTCGCACCTGCTCATTCAAGGTCAACATTGTCTATTTGAGGGTATATGCCGTGTCTTGTCCATAACTCTTATCTTTGAAGGGATTTTGTAAATGTATTTTCCACAATGTCCGGTCCATAACTTTTTCATAGATTAAAGGATTTTGAAAATACTTTGCACAAATAGTTACAATAATAAGACGATATGTCATGCACAACACCTGCACCCCTATCTTCAAGGTCAAGGTCACACTTAGAGGTCAAAGCTTAACATGATATATTTTTAAATGCTGTGTTTCATTTTATATCTTTAATGAATTTATTGTTGCATTTGCAGATCTAGCATTGATCATAATTTTGGAGTGTAAGTCCTAAGAGCCATACATCAATATTTTGAAATAGCACACCTTTATTCCTCATATAAAAATTCCCTGAGGCGTGGGACGTTGGTAACTCTGTTACAATTTCTTGTTCATAACTTACGCGCTATTTCATACCCTAATATCATGTCGATTTACCGAAAAGAAGCACGTAAAGAATCGACAGACTGGAACCCAGGCTACTTTAGTATGTGCCCGTAATTTAAGTAAGGCGTGAATGCATTGCTATCAAATGTCTTCTTCGACCATTTAAACTTGGTCAGTGGTCATATGACATTTAGATTCCATGATTAAATTTAAACCTTACACAAATATTTTGTTATAAAAGGGAAATTAAAGGTAATGTTTATGAACAGTGTATTTTATGGGCACTGTAGTAGAAAGCGACACAATTTACTAGGCAATGGCTGTCTGATATTACAGTAAAAACCCTCAATTAAGACCACCATTGGGACTGGACCAAAGTGGTCTTAATTGCGGGGTGGTCGTAATTGTGGATATTCTTATCATTGCTTACGCATGTTATTACCCGGGCCTATTTTAGTCATTTTGTATGACCAAACAATATGTATCTTAATATAAAAGTATGATATTTTGTTTACATCTGATGGGAAGAAAACATATTTCTGAAGAAATTTAATATCAAATTTTCCTTGTTCTGATTTCAATAGTAATTATTGTATGATGTACATAATTCACATATCATATCAGACATTATTTCTTCACAAAACAAATGTGCATAAAGTAACATTAAACCACTATGAAATTAACTTTCTCACCTTTTTTCATTAAATATCCCATAAATAACAGTTTGTGACACCTTGTGTAATCAAGTGTCATGCCTTAGAGCAATGAAGCAGATAATAACAACATAACAACACATTTAAGATCTAGGAAGGTGTTGATTTTAATACCAGTGGTCTCAATAGTGAGATCAAATAAAGAACAAAATAATGAATTGGGACTGAATTTGGTGGTCTTAAAAGTGGATAAGTGAGGTGGTCTTAATTCTGGATCATGTAACCATTGACATAAAGAACAGAAAATTCCGTTCTTTTAAAAACTGGTCTTAAAAGCGGGTGGTCTTAAATCCAAAGTGGTCTTTAGTAGGGATTCTACTGTATATTATATATTCAAAGGAAGTTCTGATGTTTATAAATAAATTGGCCTAACCTCTTGTAATTTTATTATTACTGACAATTTTTATTCGTCAGTATAACATTCTATATTAACATTTTATATGAGGGAGCTAAAGATCTAGTTTAAGGAAGTTATCGACGTTCACTACGTGTGCAAAAAAGCGCGTATGGGCATCTGTTGTCATACATTCTTTACTGTGTCGATGTGACTAAAAGAATTACCAACCAAAAATAAAATACGTTTGTAAAGTTTGTCTATATATACTGGTTCAAACATGGGTATAACATTTAATGTTCCTGACAAGAAATACGGATTTTTACCAATTCCAGTATCATGCTTGTTTAAACATCAAACTTTCTTTGTGTTATTTCTGTTGACTTCAAACCATTTGCCCTTCACAGTTGTAGGTTCATATCCCGCCAGGGACTTTTGGATTCTTTTACGTAAGGAAGCTATCCAACTAGCTTACGGAACGCCGGTGGTCCTATTCAGGTGCCCTTGTGTGCCTTAAATAATGCAAGGAAGGACACCTGAGGCATTCCTGTACTAGTAAAGCTGGAAAGTCGTCATATGACAGTGTTGAACCAATCATAAAACATAACTTCCTTCTTTGATCTTAACTCTATATAATGTATAATTTTATAAAGATGAGCAACTATGTTATTATGATACATATAAATCGATTCCATTTTTTATATGACCAATTCTTTATAAGATGCATCAGCATTACTACGTATATAATTATACCTGCATCTAAACTAGTTTGAATGACCATTTTTGACGAGTGTCAATGACTTTACTTAAAGTTTCAGCTCATCTAATAATGATATTGTAAGCGTATGTGTCTCAATTTTATATAAAAATACTTTCCGTATTTATAGATATAATTTTGAATTATCATAACATTATCATGTTTTTAACCGTTGACACAACTATTCGTCTCTTGTAGAAATAGATAACATAAGAATTATGAAGGCTGGCGGTGAAATCGTCACTAATGAACATTTCATAAATATATGTGAAACTTGATGACAATTTATAATATGAATATCCTGCCCAAGTCCGATAAGCAGCGAGTTATTTCCATCTAGTTACCAACACAATAACAATCGTCAACATTATAGGTCTTTGGTGAGATGCATTTCTTTGTTGTGTCAAGTTCGACAACAATCTTAGTTATATCACGACTTTGTGTGTGTGTTTGCGTTTGTTTACCCTCGCCACCGGAAAGAGACCATTTGGGCGAGCATATACTTAAATTATAACCTAAAAATAGGGGATCTGACGTTTGTTTACTATAATTTGTTTTATCGGTACATGTGTTATGTGCATATATCATATCCCCCATGGCAGGGTCGTCTTTACGTATGACCTCTGCCATGGGAGGAAGATAGGATAATCCCATTCTAAGTTTATTGATTCTAAAATTAATTATTATAATGTACTTATTTTAAAATGGCCAAGACGTTTATAAAGGGTGCCGTCTTTTATAACAGGTCACATATTAAGAAAATAGTTACTTACATGCGATAAAGGCATGTCAGGAACGTTTCTTTACCAGTTCAATGTGGGCTCTCTGTGTATTTTCTTCTTATTATATATAAATAACGCATACATTGGGATGCATATGATTAATTACAAGTTTGTAATTAGCAAAATTTGTTATAAATTTTTTAAGTTCTACCGAAGATCCGCTTTATTAGAATGATTTTGATTCGTTTAGAGATTATTGCCTCCTTTGTCCTCATTGGTCTAAAATTCGTTGTTTACAAAATAAGGAGGTAAATACGATTTTGTTAAAATTTCTGCAAGTCTTTGATTGGCCTATTTTGACGAGTTTGTCACGCGGACCGGATAGAAATTTAGCATGTATCACGATTTTAACTACAGTCCGTGGTTATTTATTGAATCTTGGGAAATGGTTGAATGTGTGATCACTTAATATCAATATGCAAAATTATTGTTTAAATTGATATTCGTGACCTTGCATAGTGTCCAGTAAGAAATTGCTTGGCCTACGTAACGATTTATAACTGACCAAGTAGCCGTCTTAACACCCCGACTACCAACGTCAAAATTGTTTTAACATAACATAAGATATCAAATGAAATAGAATGTATTAACACAAACACTACAAGAAATAGTGAATCATTGTACTTGCTAGATAATAAATATATGAATGAATAAATACACATAAAATATAACAATCATTGAAGTAATTTAAGTGAAAACTAAGTTAATTTAAACAGTGAGACTTTTGAACCTTTCCCGGTGGTAAGTAAATGTTTCTTTTCTGCATTATAAGCCATACTAAGTGGTGAAAATCCTATTTCAGCTTTAGTGATAAACAGTTTCACAAGTTCTCCGTACTCGTCCACCTGGTGTATATTGTTAGGACCGGCGATATAAACGTAATTTTGTTCATCAACAACTATAGCCGACGGATATCGCACACCTTTATAAACAAATATAACTTCTCCGTCGGGATGTAAAGCTATTACAGAATTAGATCCTTTATCAGCGACAACTATATTTAAATCCCTGGTCACTACTATTGACTCCGGTCTTTGAAATAAAGTTTTACCGTCGGGATCTTCGGTAAGTTCCGCTTGTATATTACCGCCGGGTGTAAGTAAGCTAACTTGTCCAGTATCTTCTGATGTACTCATAGTTATAGCTTTTCCATCAAATTTATTTATGCAGATACCTCTGCAGTTACCTTCAGTTTTTATAAATCCACTTTTCTTAAGTTGCACGCCGTCGACATGAATTTGACGTATTCTGTCGGGAAATGCGCCGTATATTAATGGCAAGTTTGGCGACGCGCACACACATTGCGCGGGCAGGGGGAATTCGATAAACGTTACAAACTCGAAGTTACACGTAAACATTTTTATCTTCTTGTTTATAAGATCCGACATTATGATGTCTCCCGTCGGTAAATATGCTGAGCTATTTATGATACAGTTCTTTTCCCCGCGTAATTTAACGTGGTAAGTTCCCTCGGGTATAGCATGACGCTCTGGTATCTCCTCCCCATGGTGTACCCGTCCCTTAAACCTTCGGTTACTTGGGTTGGCACTGTATGTTTCGCTTTTACAACATTTACCTCCCATCTCTAGAATAAATTGCCGCCATGAACACCATTTTCACAGATTGAAGTTTTTTTTCCCTGTGTTTCTTTAAAGTATTTTAATCCTCACTGACCTCTTTAGAAACATTTGGTATACATTTTCTACTAATACGAACACACAGTTTAACTAGCTTTGGATTAATCCATAAAGTATTTAATCTTCCGTCGTATATACATTTACATACAGTAGGTGAAAGTGAATCCAATTTCAAAACGAACAATAGCCCTTTGTTTTAGACAAAATATGAATTAATCTGTTTTTGGTTTTGTTTTGGAAATAAACATTGATCAATCATTGACGAACATAGTTTAATAAATTATACGTCATGTAGTATTAGAAAGGGTTCTCTCGAATTAACGAGTCTTCCTAACCTTTCCCAACTAAGCCGCTAGATCGAATGGTTATAAATACATGTATATTAAAATGTGTTAAAAGTTCATTAAATGTTAGACGTGCTAAAGGGATAGTTAATAAGTTATTCATTCTTTACGCGTGCTGCATTTGTTTCACCTAAATTCTTAATATAACCTATAACTAGTTTGATAATTATGTAATTTATCATAACAGGCATGTACTTCGTTTTACCGAATTAACAAAACAATACAATAAAGAACAGTAATGAATGATGGCTCTTAATTAACATTAAAGTGTTTCTACTTCTGCAGAAAGCTGTCGGTCCTCTGACAAAACATCATGTAAAAGTTTACTAATGAACGTTATTTCCAGTCGGATAGAGGTGATTTGTTTACTTGTTAAATACTGCTTAAGCCGGTGATAGGGAGCGTGGATAGTAGCTTTCACTTACCACTACCATCCATGGACATCCTCAATGAAACCTTACCTTCCTTTTCCATTTTGGACGTTCATAAGGGAATCCATTTTCTCTATTTTACACTCGTACACGACTTACAGTGACATGGCTTCTGCTTTTTCGGGATGCAAAGTCATTCTGTAAGAGTATGACGGTGACATACCAGAGAACAAAATCACCGTGTCCATGAAACGCTTAATCGTGTAATAAGTCTTGTTTATCACACACCCGTGCCGATTTTGCGACTCCGTAAATATGGTATTGCACGGCCGTGCATATATTTTGACGTGACGTCATTAGCGTTATGCAAACATAGTTAAAAGACGCGCTAAATGTTAGCGTTCTACTATAGGCGCGTCAACGGAAAATAACTCTTATTTCACTTTAAACGGTCTTTATTTTGGGTATGTGATAAATAGAATATTAAATTCGTGTAAGTTCATTACTGAATTTATTGCACTCGTTGAATAAAATAATATTATGCTCGCCAGAGGCTCGCATGATATAATTTTATTCAACTCGTGCAATAAATTCAGTATTGAACTTACACTCATTCAATATCCTCTATTTTATATTTCGTGAACATTACGCTCTCTCTCTCTAAAGATTATTTGTGGCGGACAGAAGGCATGTACAATTAGTACATTTGTATTAGAAACTAATTCAAATTTTTCTCTATGGTCTGAAAATTTTAACTAAACAATGATATAAGTGAAGCATCACCATACAGTAAACTCAATGGGGAAAATAAAAACATGCAAATTCTTTATCATAAATTCTCATCTTTTGAATTTATTTGTAGAATAAAAACAATTATCAAAGAAGAATCAATGAATACAACCTGCTGAAATCATGTAAACATGGCATAAGAATGATGAGTGATTTGAGCATTCACATTTATATATAAAATGTAAAAAGGAAATTAAATTATAGGCTAGCTTTTAGTGATATGTGGTAATTTTGACATGCCTTAGAACATGAAATGGGTATAAAGCTTAATCTAATGAAATATTTATGAACAGTAAAATTATGTTGTTTTCATAATTACGTGTATGGTATGTATGGATGATTCTTGAATCAGTTATAACACAGAATGTCTCCGTTGTTCTACATACGTGAATATTGCATGTAAACAGAAACAAAACAGTATACTGTTATTTTAGTAGGATTATTTATAAATGATTCTGTGCATGCGCCATTCTCATATTGAACGAGCATTATTTCTTTCATACAGGTTATTTGGAAGTTTGTTTTTTTCGAAATCCATACAATACTATTTCAGCAGATATAAAGCTTTATACACTTAAGGTACTTTGGATTTTACTGACAATAATAGGAAAATAATAAATATTTGAAAACTGAATCAATATACTCAATAATATATATAACAATATTAAAATCATTTTACTTAAGTGCAAACTCAAGGCACATGTATTACATTCATTATTTATCTTCTCCTTTCTTCAAAACAAAAGTAGACTATTTCACATGATTACACCTTAGTTCAGGAAATGGCTTTCCATTTACATATTTTCATAGAGCTGTATTACCAAATGAGTTACAGAGTTGATATAACAGATCATTTTACTGTCTCATCTTAGAACTACATGCCCTCCTTAATGTATAAAAATCATCTATATAAGAACATTGCTCATCAATAACTCATTTAAAATTTACAATATAGTTGTAAATGATATGATATCAGTATAATATAATTTTTTCAATTAAGAAAAATGATATGCATATGTAAAAAAAGTTATAATACAATGAAATATTTACATCAATAAACACATATATACAGGAATTTATTTTACAAATGTGGTATATTACAAAAATTTATCAGCAAAATTTTAAAATTTCATAAAATGTACATGCTGCAATATTATAATTAATTTGACAACTTAAAAACTGGATGAAAATAAATGTTTTTTGTATTCATTCAGGACAATTTGCTACAAAATACCCAAAATATCATAAAATCGAGATAAATTTTAAACCTGTCAAACAAAGTCCTAGTCTAATGACTTATATTATAATGCAAAATATGTTCAGTAAAATGTAAGTTAATACGAAACAAACTCTCTTGAAACAACAGCTTTACTTGACCAATTTTCAGCCCACATTAAAAGAAGAAAAAGGGATTGTTTCTTTAGATATTACCCTGAATGAATACATGTAACTCTTAATCAGTAATACAAAGTACTTGGTACTAAATTTACATATTCAAAATTTATAAAAAAAAATCTTTTTACTGTACCATATAAATCATTATATACATATAAAATCACACAGATAACATATTTTGTATAATGATATGTAAGAAACATTCTTCATCAATAAAATAATATGATTAATTTGAATAAAATATTCCATTTACTCATAGCTTTTGTAACAAAAACTGAGCTCTTTTAAAGAATTTCTTGGTAAATTCTTGTAGGAAAATAAATCTATTGTTAAATACCATTATAATGATAAATAAATGATGAACATTGTAAATATGTTTAAAATATAATCACAATAAATCACAAAAGGACATCATAAAAATGAGTACTTCATCTTATAGAAATGATGTAATGTAACAGTGTATGGAATGTAACCATGTCTGGAATGTCAGGTAAATAAACCCATGTTGATATGCACTGTGAAATGTGTTTACTGTATACATTTTTATTATGTCACATTTTTACAAAAAAGAAAAAAAAAAGAAGTTTTTCTGGCCTTTTTTTCATCCTTACTTAATATGATGGCCCCCTTTTTCCACAGAAATAATAAAAGTATCAGTATCTATCACCACAGAAATTGTATTAACAAGAAAATATATAGAATTGACATCCCTATCATATGATATAAATCACTTGATGGAAGATTCTTAAGTACCTTAATTATAAGAAATGTATATGAAAATAAAACTTGTGTCTTTATACACTGACTAAAAGCCCATACAACTGAGCAGTGTAAAACATATAGCTCATAAAGTAAGGAAAGGACATTCTTTTGAAATATGACATAAAACTTCCCATAAATCATTTCTTATTGACATCCACATTCATGCCAAGATCTATGAAAAGCTAGCACATCAGTATTGAGTAATTTCCCTTTAAAATGTCTTTTTATAAGGTACAAAGGGTCAATAATTCAGCATCAGATTTTACAAGTATTAGATGGGCATCATTACCATGTCATTATATACATCCAGACAGAAAGTTAGTTAGAATGACAATGTCATTTCATTATCCCTATAATCAGTAGAGGATGATTAAAACTGCTAACTGCTAGACATGTGACACATAAATATCTATTGTATGGAAGTACTTGTAGAATGAAACCTGACAGTTTATACATTTATACATAAAAAAGGATCAAGTAAGAAAAAAATCAATGTTGTCATGTCCATTATGTATGGCACAAAATAACAAAAATCACAAATATTGATATTACAATATTTCATATTATTAAAGATTTATTAAAGCTATAACTTATTTACAGTGTATTATCTACCATGTGCCTTAAATAAATAAATATCATATACATTTATAAAGGTATAATTTGAACAATAAAATGCACCATGTATCTATTAATTTGATATGTCATAATTTTATATACATGAAATTAAACAATATAATAATTGGACAGTTAAAATTTTTACTTCTTTATTTGTAAAATGAAATTGCCCTGCTTAAAATTTGCTCCTTTCAATTCGTTATTTTAAAATGTTTAACCCTTAACCTGCTGGAACCAAAAGTAATTAGCTTTTTGCCACCAGTATAGAGCTAAGACAGCCTGCAAACCATACTATATAACCAGGCTCTATACTGACTGTTAGTAGCTAAATTTTCCTATCAGGACAGTGCAATCCCAGTTATTCAAAGTTGGGAAAACCTGGATTTCCTGTCTAACCGATAACAACTGTTGATTTTTGAAAAGTTAACAATGTGACCATGCAAAAACAATTTATAGTGTTCTTAAGCATGTTAAAATTTGTATATGAACTTTAGTGTTACCGTGGGGTTTTCCCTTTTAAAACAAACTTTCTGAACAGTATTTGATAGGATCTATAACAATTCTATTAAAAGGTAAAGGGTAACAGAACTATAGCAATGCTTAGTTTTTAGGATGACACCAAACTGTTCTTAGCAGCTTTAAGTTTCAAAATACTAAAATCATGCATGTTAGATGTAAGATGAGTAGAAATTGGTCAGATCAAACAGATATGCAGGTTAACTTTAGCTCAATAATCATGGTGGAAGTTAGTTATCACCATTACCAGCATACAAAAAGTTACAGTTGCATATCTCACAATGACATTATAGAAATATTCCATGATAGATAAGAAAATCTTGTAGTCTTTATGTCATATCACAAGATGAGCGTATAAAGGACGGAGATACAGAGTGTCAGAGATGTTACAACATAACTGATCATCATCCTGCCGGACTTGTTACATAAATCTGAATCACAGAAACAGTAGTTCACAGACCGACCAAAATCATCAACTGTCTTCTGACACCCCAGGAATGGCTCGTCTATCTCTGTCAAATATAGTAGAAAACAAACTTGTATATGATAGGATACATAAAATCTTCAGATATCTAGGACATTTAGTGATATGTGAAATTTAACACTAAAAGTTATTTTTGTATGAGTATTATACATGTACTAATAATTTAATGATAAATGTCATTTAAAGAAAATCATTCACTTAAGAACACGTTTTATTTTCTTTCCTTGATAAAATTCATAAACTTAAATATCACTTATTTAGAAAGACTTTTTCCTGAAAAAAGATCACTTTTTAAATTCCAAAGTTGGGTTATGTAAAAAGATTTGAAAATATTTTTTTCAGTGTTACTTGATCAAATAATTTAGGGTTTTCCATCAATCAGCATCATATATTCATTTTGATAGCAAATGAGTTTATAAAATGTTTTGGTGTTTCTAATCAAACTGATGATTATATTACCATTACAAGACAATGAAAGTTAGGTAACTCTCCACATTTACTGAGTTAATGAAAGTTTTATAGAACATTATATAACAATATACTATACCTCTGATAGATTCTATTACACTCAGGTAGTTTGTCCTTGTATAACATTTCCTCATTGCTTTATAATACTCTAAAATAATAAAATATTCATAAGTACTGCCTTTATAATACTCTAAAATAATAAAATATTTACAAGTACTGTCTTATAAGACATGTATAATATTATATATGTCTAAATGAGTATAATAAACTAGTACATCAAGCAATGTTATTCATTAATCTTTAACCTGCTGGAACCAAATGAGATATAGTTCTAGACCACCAGTACAGAGCCAGGCCATTTGTGTAGTCTAACAACTTAGTGACAAGGCTTAACTTGTATACTGTTAACAAGTCTCCACATGTAAATTGTTAACTGAAGTGATCAACTTGAAATTATCATCTTGATATCCTAAAATGTTGCTAATGAATAGTTTCAAAAATGGTAGCTGGATTATAAGTCCATTTAATATAATATTCTATTAATATGAACTGTTAACAATAAAATCACTTTTACATTGACATGCTTAGTGTTAAGCTATCATTTAGTGTGTCTTGAAGCTTTGTTTGTATAATGCAAATACCATCATATCAAAATGTATGCAAGACTGTGCAATACCATTTTAATGGAGTTGCAAAAATGACATGTGTATGTGATACAAAAAACAATATGACTTACCATCATCCCAGACCTTGGAACAAACATAACAATTATTGCCTTTAGCTGTGCCATCTTTCTTCGGATCAAATGGTTCTACAGGACAACTTGTACACTCATAACACTGTCAATATAATAAACATTGTTTATCTTAACATTTTCAATTAAATTCTAAGATTTATCTATGAAATAAAATTGTTAAATCTCACTGTTTGAAACCAGAGAAATAATAAATTTTGATGCCATTACAAATCAAGAAAAATGGTTGACCTTTGACTTAACCAAAGGAAAATACAAAGACTGCTGTGTTAACTGTGATTACAAAATCATACTTTTTATAATAATATTCCCCAGCTCAACTTAATTGCTGATTAAGTTATTTAAGATGAGACAAAAAATATTTAATATAAACATTAAAATAGTAAGACGAGAACATTGTATGAATGAAACAAGTGTAAAATATACAGCATAGCTATACATAAAGCTATCTCTCACATCATTTCACTGACACTGTAAAACCTGGATGATCACATGAAGTCATAAGTACTTTCATTCTGGCACAGTTTTATCAAAAACTGGTCAAGAATTATAGATTTTTTGAGGATATAAAGTATACTTTGTTTTTTAGAAATACCTGTATTCCATCAATTTCCTTATCATAGTCAGTTTCTGTACCAGATGACACATACCCTGGTATAATGGGCTGTTCATTCCATGTATTCTGAAACTCATTAAATGTCCCATCTCTCCACACTGAAATAATACATATAATATCTATACATTGATTGGTAGATATTTGACAATTGTCTTCCTGTACATACATTAAATAAGGATGCACCTACATTGAATAAAGTTAATTTGGTCTCAAATCATTTGCAAATCATGGAAAAATAAATCTTATATCAAATGCGATTAGGGTAAAGTCTTGTGCAGCAAAAAAATAGTCTCAAACATATGAGAGGCGTCATGACAAAACCAACATAGTGCGTTTGCGACCAGCATGGATCAAGACCAGCAAGCGCATCCGCGCAGTCTGATCAGGATCCATGCTGTTCGCTATCAATTTCTGTACTTGTTAAAGAGTTTGTAAGTGAACAGCATGGATCCTGATCAGACTACACAGATGCGCAGGCTGGTCTGGATCCATGCTGGTCGCAAACCCACTATGTTGGTTTTGTCTTGACGCGGCTCATATATGCAAGCATTATGTTAGTACATTTTTATTAACAATGGTAACTTGATACAAACCTCCGGCTACTATTCCATTGAGATCAGGATCACAGTCAGGACCTCCTGTAGGGTTACTCCAAGGATACTGCTTCAGTTCAAATGCAAATCCTCTGCGGAATGTCTGGTGAACATCTGTCTTAAACTGTATGGTGAGCTTGTTAGCACAGGTTGTAAAGATCAACTGACCTATCTCAGACTCTTTCAGGGTACCACACAATCCAGTTTTAAAGTTGATACCTTTCAATAGCTTTGCATTATCACACCTCAAAGCTGAAATAACAATCAGTAGTGTATAAAAAACTTAGATAAAAACAGTATGGCAAATATACAAGAGCTGTAGGAGCGAAAACAGTCCCCTCAACTATTATTAATGCTTGACAGTAAGAAAAGCATAACTCACAGTTATAGGTAGTGATGGAAATCGGATGAAATTTGTCCCAATCGATCATCGGTTCAGTCGGATGGGACATAATCGATAACTTTCGAATAAAGTCGCGTTAAAAGGAAATAGGGAAGTAACATTTCTTACCAAGGCACTTGATTATATTTAGTAACATGAACTTCATTTAGCACTTTTCAACACAGTTTTAACCTTATATAGTCATAATTTTATGACATAGATTTTATTTTTCAACGGATGTCAAATAATACCATTCACATCACATTATATAACTATTGTTAACATCACCTATTGATCCTGTTCAACTCCAAATTGTCTCTGAGTGATTTTTTTGCGATCGGCGAGGTGTTCCTTAAGGAAAATTACCGTCAGAATTAATTCCCTTTGATAATTTAAACATTTTTGACGACGTCGCGGAACAAACTTTTGTGAATCGATTATTGTCGTTTTACATAACAGTAAGTGATGATCGGCGGCTTGCGACAATCGGAACATCACTAGTTATAGGACATGTACCCATCATGTTTCATAATCACAGAGAACAAGTGTGTCAAGTTTCAACCCATTTTCTTTAGTAGTTTTGTAAATACCAACTTGCATGCAAAAACTTATACAAGTGTGATGTCAAGGTGAGTACAATAGCTTCAGAAGTTCCTCTATTCTTTGAGAAGTCAAGCTAAAAAATAGCTTACTTACATGTATGGTACCGTATAAGTACTTATTTCTGCGGGCTTAATATTCTGCGATTTTTGTTAAAATAAGGGGTTTTAAATTTCTGCATATCTTATTTCTGCGGTGTCATCATTCTCGCATTGATGTTTTTATTTCTGCGTAATAATTAAGATAGTTTTACAAAATTAACCGACACAGACAACATTTCAAGATTTGTTTATGTACATGAACATCAATACTTCCGGTTAACATGCAGACGACTGATGATGTGTTTCGTCGTAATCATCATGTGTCGGTATATACACGTAAACAAACAAAAAGCAACAACGTGCATTGACAACAATTTTAATACTGTATGTGTATAATTATGAAGTGTGAATAATAATGGCAAAATCGCACGTAGACACAAGATATTGTACAAATACAAAAGGGTATGTTTATTGCACCCGTCAAACTACAATAGTTTTATTTTACAAAAAACAAATACAAGCTAAGGGTGAGCGAAAATCATGCAAACATGATATTTATTTAAATAAAGAGAACAAGCCAAGTAACATTTTTTCTTCTATTTTTTCTAAATGAAATATTTTATTCATGACAGATATATTAAATAACAAGAGGGCCATGATGGCCCTGAGATCGCTCACCTGTATATAGGCCCCCCGTAGCGGGGCCAGTTTAAACCCCCAGGGCTTTTATTTGAACAAACCTGGAAGACACCCATTAGAAGATGTTTCATGATGTTAAGTTTTTACTACACACATATAATGAAAAACAATGACCGCCGCCCCCCCTCCTCCACCTTCCCCCCCCCCCGGCAGGGCCAATTTTAACCCAAGGGTTTTTATTTGAACAAACTTGGTAGACATCCATATACACATATAGTTAAAAACAATGACACCCCTGGGGCGGGGCCAGTTTTGACCCCAGGGCTTTTATTTGAATAAACTTTGTAGACACTTACTAGAAGATGTTTCATGCTTAATATCTAAGCTCTAGCTCATACTAGAAGATGTTTCATGCTTAATATCTAAGCTCTAGCTCATTGGGTTTTTTAAAAGAAGATTTTTTAATTTTTACTACATGTATACACATATAGTTAAAAACAATGACACCCCTGGGGCGGGGCCAGTTTTGATCCCAGGGCTTTTATTTGAATAAGCTTTGTAGACACTTACTAGAAGATGTTTCATGCTTAATATCTAAACTCTAGCTATTTGGTTTTTTTTCAAAGAAGATTTTATAGTTTTTGCTATACACATATAAGAAAAATCAATGACCCCAGGGGCGGGGCCAATTTTGACCCAAGGCCTTTCATTTGAACAAACTTTGTAAACACTCACTTGAAGATGTTTCATGCATAATATCTAAACTCTAGCTATTTGAGTTTTTTTTTCAAAGTAGATTTTTTAAGTTTTTGCTATACACATATAAGGAAAATCAATGACCCCCGGGGAGGGGCCAATTTTGACCCCAGGGCTTTTATTTGAACAAACTTGGTAGACACCTATTAAAACATGTTTCATGTTAAATATCTTAGCTCTAGCTCTTTGAGTTCTTTAAAAGAAGATTTTTTAAGTTTTTACTATATGTATATAGGGAAAATCAATGACCCCCTTGGGGTGGGGCCAATTTTGACCCCAGGGCCTTTATTTGAACAAACGTGATAGACACTCACTAGAAAATGTTTCATGTCAAATATCTAAGCTCTAGTTCCTTTAGTTTTTTTAAAGAAGATTTTTAAAGTTTTTACTATAATATTATGCATATAGGGAAAATCAATGACCCCCTGGGGCGGGGCCAAATTTTGACCCAAGGGCTTTTATTTGAACAAACCTGGTAGACACTCACTAGAAGATGTTTCATGCCAAATATCTAAGCTCTAGCTCTTTGGGTTTTTTAAAAGAAGATATTTAAAGTTTTTTCTTTTGGTTGCCATGGCAACCAGAGTTCTGCAAGGAATTAAATTCTTTGAACAATTTTTAAAGGTGTCCACCAAAGGAACATTCCTGTGAAGTTTGGATGAAATTGGCTTAGTGGTTTATGAGGAGAAGTCATTTAAAGTAAAAGTTTACAGACGGACTCCGGACGGACGCCGGACGAAAAGCGATCACAAAAGCTCACCCTGTCACTTTGTGACAGGTGAGCTAAAAATCCCATCTACATAGTTGAAAACGGTACATGGTAATGTAATTATACAATACCGTTAGTTGACATATTCCGACATATACATATGGAAAGGCTCAATTTTCTGCGGTTTCGTTATGAACCGCAGAAATAGCAGAAATAAAGTTCCCGCAGAAAAAAGTACTTATACGGTATATCATCAACAGTGACAATGTTAAATCTTGAGGAAAGTCAAATTATATTAGTTATCATGTTTGATGGTAATCAATACAAATGTTCCAAGACTGGGAAACAAGTTTTCTTATTTCTAGCCCTAGTGGCACATGCCTGAAAAAGATCATTTAGATCTAGGATGCTATACATAATGTTTACTAAGTTTGGGGATGATCCATCCAGGATATGTCTATTTTTAGCTTTTATGGATCAAAAAGAGGCTCAGATAAATAATGAATTAAAAGGGACTGAGGTTCATCTAAGTTTAATATACTTAATAAGAATGAATTTATTACTTACAATCATATATTTTGACAAAGTCATTGCACTGTATTGGTACACCATCAGGAGATGTAGTCCCTTCTACATCAAACTTATTTACTCTAATCTCCCACTGATACCCAACCTTTCCTACCAGAGATACAACACAGTTCCTATCTGATTCATAGAAATCCTAGACAATAGAACAAGAAAGATAATCAGTGTATGTTTACAATAACAAATTCTTTCACAATTCATACTTAGAAATTACTTAATATAAAAAAAATCATCAATAATTGCTATACATGTATAAAGTTTTCCCCCTCAAATTAATACCATGTTTTGTTTGTTTTTCAAAGTGAAAACAAAACTATAAAGGTCATACAGGGACTTTCCAGCATTAGGGGTGGAGAAATATCTCAGGTGTACCTTCGAGCATTATTTCAGACACAAAGAGGCAACTGAAAAGTAACATAGCTTTCTCACTTAACAAATTCAATACAAGAGCACCGCTAGGCGGAGCATTATATGCCCGAAAGTAATTTTTTTTTTTTTAGTAAAGATGAAGCATTTGTAAGACATGGGAATTAAATAAAGTATTACCTCCTTCACAAAACAATCCTCCTTTGAAGTTTCAATATTGTGGTCCAAATGGAACTTAAGTTATGCCCCGGAAACTGTTTTCAGTTCTAAGGTAATAGTGACCTTGACCTTTGACCATGTGACCCCAAAATCAATAGAGGTCTTCTACCCAATATGGACAATCATACTATGAAGTTTAAACACAGTGGGCCAAATGAAACATAAGTCATGTTCCGACAACTGTTTTCAGTTTTAAGGTCATAGTGACCTTGACCTTTAACATTGTGACCCCAAAATCAATAGGAGTCTTCTACCTAATATGGACAATCATCCTATGAAGTTTGAATATTGTGGGCCAAATTGAACTTAAGTTATGCTAAAGAAACTGTTTTCAATTTTTAAGTAATAGTGACCTTGACCTTTGACATTGTGACCCCAAAATCAATAGGGGTCTTCAACCCAATATGGACAATCATCCTATGAAGTTTGAACACTGTGGGCCAAATGGAACTTAAGTTATCCTCCGGAAACTGTTTTCAGTTTTAAGGTCATAGTGACCTTGACCTTTGACCTTGTGACCCAAAAATCAATAGGGGTCTTCTACCCAATATGGACAATCATCCTATGAAGTTTGAACACTGTGGGCCAAATGGAACTTAAGTTATGCTCCGGAAACTGTTTTCAGTTTTAAGGTCATAGTGACCTTGACCTTTGACCTTGTGACCCAAAAATCAATAGGGGTCTTCTACCCAATATGGACAATCATCCTATGAAGTTTGAACACTGTGGGCCAAATGGAACTTAAGTTATGCTCCAGAAACTGTTTTCAGTTTTAAGGTCATAGTGACCTTGACCTTTGACCTTGTGACCCCAAAATCAATAGGGGTCTTCTACCCAATATGGACAATCATCCTATGAAGTTTGAATACTGTGGGCCAAATGGAACTTAAGTTATGCTCCGGAAACCAAATTGCTAACGGACGGACGGACAGACGCCAGGGGGTATAACATAATATGCCCGAAATTCTTTCGGGCATATAACAATGTGAAAATGGAAAAGAAAAAAGGAATGTGAGAGAAGCTTGTTTAGTATTAATGTTTGTTTATAGATACATTTAACCGAATAAAACAAATAATGCTAAATAAACTATAACTTGAACTTTATGTCTTGCAAGAAGTTAACCATGTATGATAGATATTTAAAAAGAACAAGCCAGTAAAATTATTAATTCCTGAAATTTTCTTTAGTAATAAACGTATTGCAATTGGTCAAGACAACTGTACATAGTATAATATCACTTTTAAAGTAGATTAAAACTAAAGCTGTTAACCATTTGTTTTGTTTGGTTTTACGGCACAACAACACTATTTAGGTCACATGGTGCTGAAACAGGAAAGATGATTTTGGCTAACCTTGGGGGTTACAAACTTAATGCAACACAAGGAGTCAAAACCACCTCACCTGCTGGAGCCAGAAGATGCACGGTCTCCAGTAATTCGGACCCATTTAATCGCCTCTTATGATCACACAGGGAAAAAATGGTGGCTGCGATTCTGGTGCCTCAACCCTTTAAGGCATCCCCTCAGCAACAAGAGGGTTTTAATCATTTAACAAGTAAAGAAATACAAATCATTAAATTTACAATTCATACCTGTTCAACTGTTTGTGAGAAAACCTGGAAAACATCTCTGTCTTGAAGCCATTTCTCTTCTGGTGTCTCTATACCATTGCATACACCATTTTTATTTTGCAGGAGTATAACGGAATCTGCATCATGATGAAATCAGATTATTATTAGAGTTATTATACATATATGTAAAAAAAATTCAATGTCAAAATAAATTGTTTTACCTTCCAATTAATGCTTTTTAATAACTATGCGTTTGCAAATCATTTCAAGACCAGTCAACTTCTCATTTCTATCAACAAAGGCTTAATCCTATGATTTAATGTTTTTCATGAGACTCTCCCAAGATAAGCTGAAGCTGGATTTTTTTTTCAGAACCACTGAAGGTGGAATATACATTAACAGCCTAGAGAATTGTCTTTGTCAATTTGGGAAGTAATATTTTTGGTGAGTTTGACTTCCCCATGGCCTAATGAAAGAGCAATATTGGGATTAGCCAGTCAAACTATTTGTATAAATACATGTATACATCCCTGTACACTGTTAATATACTGTGTTTTACATTACAAACAGGGCTCTAGCTAGACCAAAATTTTAGGGAGAAGTGACTTCTCCCTCAGCTTCTATCAGGGAGAAGTTTGACGACATAAGGAGATGTGAAAAAGTGCTTAGCACATTGATTTGATCTATAAAAAGGAGTTTTACCTATTTATTGACAGTGATATTTGAAGTATAAATTCTAAAACCCTGTATCATCAGACCATTATAATGATTTCTTCCTGATTAACTCCACACACCCCCCTCCCTTAAGAAAATATTCATTGTTCAACACATACTGGCAAAATTCTCAATCAAAATTAATGTAAACAATACCTAAAGGAATTTTCATTAATAACTACATTTTATGTGCTATTGGACACATTTTAACACAACAAATTTTCCTTTTGGTAACTTTATTTTTTCATCGTAAAAATCGGCATCGCGAAATTATGTGACATATGAAAATTTGTCTGTTTCCTGCAGAAACAATTACAATTCTAGTTGTTGTTGATTTTGATCATATTAAATTAAATATCCAATGATATTTTTAGATTGTTATTCATCCGCTATTGCAACAGGCATTGTAAAACAAAATTTTCAAATTTGTAGTTTACCGCATAATTTACCGACGTTTATTAGTCAAAATATATTGACGTGCCAAAGCTTGATTCTGAGATATTTTTGTTCTGGGGCAGAATCTCACTTTAAGAGCGAGATATTGCCCACACACGAAAATAGCACAATATCTCGTCGCGCAGTACAATTAGTTGGACTACGACGTTTATGTAACTTTTTGAAGACAAAGTTTACTGCTGTTTTTGACTTGTCCAAAATTGGTCTAATGTGGGTCAATATTTTTTAAGTTCTTTAACAAATTTCATTTTTACTATCAAACCGGTATCAAACCATTTACTTGTGCTTCTGTGTGTATTAATTTGTATGCAAGTAAATTTACACGGTCTGTGTGAGGTTGCGTGTAATTACTGTCAAATATGGTAAGAGCAATTCCAGGTGTAATCTTTTCACACACGCTGATAAAATAGTGGCAGGTGTCGTAAAATTATGCTTAAAAAATGTGATGTTTACATCGGCGAATTAAATGGCTATAATGTCCGATGCATTTGCATATCATGTCACTTAAATGTGTTAATTGATGTCAATTATCGGCAGTAACTGTGCTTCACTAATTCAGTTTGATTTATGCCTGGAGGCAAGGATTAATTTAATTAACATGCGCTGTATGATATTGATATATACATGTGGTCAGTAATAAGCCGGCATAGTAATTTTCCCTTTGATGTTCAAACTCGGCGAAGTTCTGAAACTTTAGGCGACTAAGTCGCCCAAATCGCCCAGTTGCTAGAGCCCTGACAAAGTACTTGATGTCATGATCAATCTGTGCACCATTAAAGGTAAAAAAGGGCCATAACTCTGACAAAATCATTACAATGGAAATGCTGACAATATGCACAACAGTAGAAAGTCTTGGTACTGATCATTCCTCTAAATTTGTGATGAAATTGCAACAGTAGTTTTTGAGGAGTAATGTGGACAAATTTTGTTACGGGCAGACAGAAAATGTAGAAGTGATCCCTATTATGTTGCTGCTACTCTGCAGCAGGTGAAACAAAAATCAAAATTAGTACTTTATTTTCATTACTAATTTACATTGGAAAAATAACAGCTTCTGCATGCTTACAATAGTCTGAATAAACTTGGGCCACTTTGGGGGACCTTAATATATTGTCTTTTTGTATTGTCTTTTGATAAGCATAACAATTTTTTTATAACATGGTGGCGTACATAAATGTGAACTTGTGGAATGACAACCCTGATACAGATTTGAAATGCATGATGTCATAGCTTCTTTTTGCAATTGAACTTAGATAAATTTATATGTTTAAACTAAATTTAAAATAATGGTAGATTATGGAAGAATATGCAAGAAAAAATAATTGAGTTCGGACATGTGTCTGCAGTTCAAATAAAAATATCTGTTCCTTGGGTACCCATCCCTGGGCTGCACCTCGTTGAGCCTTGTTTCTGCCCACTAGAGGGACATTCTGATCCAAACTGCACTGGGAGTGTAAACTGTGTAATGTCTTGGTGGGAACAGTCTTGGTGTGAACTGTCTTGGGAGTGAAACATCTGACTACCACTGAGACTTATATAAATGACTGCGACAAAAATTATGAAACTGGTTTTAAAAGCATAAAAATATTTGCATCAAACAACTTTTTTTGGCAGGTCATTCCATGTGTAAATGATTCTAATTTTACATATCAACAGTCCTTTATTCAGTGTTGGTTTATAAACTTTAAGATGATGTCCCTGTGGCTGCTATCATCAGATCATTAGACTTCTTGAACTGTTGTTGAACATGATGATTATCAGGATTATTGAATTTGTTGTCACTACCTGAAATTCCCTAGAAATCCTGAATTTCCCTATAACGAGTATGCTAGAAGTGTATCAAAAACCTTTATTCATAATTAAAATATAATACCTGGTAACTGTGGGTCTCCTACCCTTATCAAACAGAAAATAAACAAAATAACAAAAGTTCTCATTTTTGATCATTTCCTTGTACACAGACGCTTGATGACTCAGAATAAATATTGGATAAATTCCACTCGCTTTACTTGCCGCACTGCTATAATATACCGGGTACGGCTTTGAATATATAAAATATGTTTGCTAGTTTAAATTTTCTTCTTGTTAACTTAATAAATAAAGAATCGTCTTTTACTGAATGGGTAATTTCACTGTTTCAAACAGTGAAATTACCAGTTTTATATCACTGATATAGTTCTATAAACCACCGAAAAGCATGTAATAAATAGAGGATATTCAAGTTTTTTCTATAAATACATGATTTATTTTCATCGAGTGGTATGAAAATAAATATTTCATGAGTGGCGGTAGCCACGAGTGAAATATGGTAATTTTCATGCCACAAGATGAAAATAAATCATGTATTTATAGAAAGAACTTGAATTTTCTGTTTATTATGTACATTTTTCTCTTTTTTTGCGATAAAATTTGAAAAACTTTCCCTTAAATTTTGTGTACTGGTAGAATTTAAAAGAAAGTAGTCCGGCAAGACACCAGTGAAAATACGGAAAATATGTTTCACTGCAGTGAAAAATAAATTTTTACAGTGAAAATACGGAAAATGAAAATACGCATTTTATTTCATCAATATTAAGAGGATATTTTTTCGTTTGAGTGAATATGGAATATATTTTCACGAAACATGATAAAATGCCAGCCACATATTTTCACGAGCCGGGACGGCGAGTGAAAATATGAGGCATTTTATCATGTTGAGTGAAAATATATACCATATTTCACGAAAAACGAAAAAATAACCTTTTTATTTAATTTCATTATCAAAGAAAAATGGTTATGAACCCCCTTGCCTGCTACGCAACTGCAATTATACAGCGCGCAGTAATATAAGTATCGTCTTGTTTTGCACGCGATGTTTGGCGCTACATTGTGACTTCACGTAAACAAGACTTTAAACGTCTGTATACAGCGTTAATGACTGAATTAAAGATTCGGATTTATGTGTTCGGATTTATTTTCTTAGTTAGACCTTTTTCTATCATTCTAGATAGTTTCAAAACAAAATTCAACAAAAAATGAGTTTTGACTGCGCCCACTTTCATATTTATATTTCATATTTATTTTTTACAAATATGAAATATATTTGACTTATATAGCACCATATTTCATTGGTAAAATTAAATAATTCTCAATATTTCATTTATAAGTATATAATAAATTTCTTTATTACATGATTTTCGATGGTTTATAGAAATATATCAGTGAATTAAAACTGATAATTTCACTGTTTGAAACAGTGAAATTATCAATTTGATAATTTCACTGTTTTGAATTTAAGCCCCTTACGTTGTTTCAGTGAAATACCAGCGTACACAGAACTGGAAACCAACTTAATAACGTGACGTCGTAAATGACGTCACGTTGTATAATTATTTGGCGTGCTATTCATTTATTATTAGGTAAAAATGTCCTTTTTAACGTTTGATTGCATGGAATAAAAAGAAAATTTGTTTAGTTTAGTGTAAGATCGAAATATATTTCACCTCGTGAACACCAAAAGTTTACATTTCACTCGTGGCTGCGCCACTCGTGAAATATACCTTTTGGTGCTCACTCGGTGAAATATATTCCGATCTTACACTGAACTTAACAAATATCCTCTATATACAACACCGAAAAGCATGTAATAAAAGACGTTAATTCTACTAGTTTATCGCCAACTCTGTTCATATAATTATAGAGTAAAAGTAGACATTGCTTATTTCAACAATTTTATTTAACAATAGCTAATTAAGCAATGTACAATTGATTAAGTATTTAATATTAAACATAATCTATCTGATTGCTTACAAAAGGGTGATATTTTTCCTAGCTTTCGTTTCCTTTAAAGCCTTGATAATGGCGGTGATGACAATGGAGTCATAGCGGTCCCGCCTATTAAAATTAAAGATAACATATCTAAGATGCTGTACACGTATGTCAAATTGTCTAATAACACAAGGTCTTTCATCTTTCTATTTGAAAGACACTGAATGACTCAATGAGATTGTTACAGGAAAAATATATTTAAAAAGTAGTACAAGTAGTGTTCTATTCGGATCTAACCGTTTCCAAAAGTGCTGTGTATGAACTTACCACTATTAACCCCAAAACGTATGCACGTAATGCACGTGTATATAATTAGTAACAAAGATTTTTTGCATGCCATGTGACCCAATATAAACGATTGTTTACATATATAACCCGAGCCGCTAGGCTGCCATGTTATATGACCAATTAACGTTTATATTACAAACAACCGTTTCACGGCCATATAAGAGATCAGATATTTTTATAAATAAATAAATAAATAAATAAATAAATAAATAAATAAATAAATAAATAAATAAATAAATAAATAAATAAATAATGAAATAAATAAATAATGAAATAAAATAAATATATAAAAAAGTAAAAGAAAATACTTCCTGCATTGACAGCAGTCATGTAATATTAGAATGTCCACTGTACAATGTTCTGAGAAAACAGCTCGATCCTAGATAAATATTTTTGAAAAAAAAACAAAAAACAAATATACCAAAATTTATTGAATTGTTAACATCTCAAATTGAAAATGTTATAAGAAAATTATCAATGTTTATCTTTAAAATGTTTGAATTAAGAACAAAATTTTAATGTTGAATATTCGTAAATTATAGTAGCTAGGAAGGTAAATGTAATGTTACTTAATTGATATCATTATGCAAAACTTGTGCTTCATTTAAACCTTGTTGTAATATGATTATTCTGTACTTATGTCTCAAATATACAGTAAATGTTAAATATATGTTATATATGTTTAATGACCTTGATAACGTTTATCCATTAAAAACTATCGTTTCAAATAACGGAAGTTTGTTGTGTTATAAATTCGTCATACGAATCTTGTGTGGTTGTATGGCCGTATTGCAATATAACCCTTGTCTAGGGCCATATATAACATGTCAAAATCTTTTAAAACTAATTATGTACAGTTTTAGAAAACATATATTTCAAAGTCCTCTACAGTCTGGCTTGAACTTAATTATGCTTATGACTGTTTATTACAGTATTCAGATTTTAAAATACAATTTTAAAACTAATAAAGCGAGTTGTTAAGTACAAGCTTATTAATTATAATACCACATTAAAAATGCAATCTACTCTGCAAATATTTATATTAAAAAGTATCAAAAAACAACAATCAATGTTATTCATGTATACTTTATTATTTAATCTGTCTAATATCGTCAATTTTCTTGGCGAAAAATATATATAATATATATAAACCATATATCAAAAAATAACTTCTGCTCTTTAATGTTTAAAATTAATTATCGCCTGGTTCCTTTACATTTAAGAGGCCCTATTAATCTAAGCGAACAAGCGTGCAGACAAGTACTTATGTGAGAATTTCAGGAACCATTCTAAATTGGAAACAGACCTCTGGCGTTTAAACAGCGCCGGGAAAACAGGTAAAATACATGAATATTTGTTGTGATGTGTAAGGTTAGAGGTTTATTGCATTTGATATTTTGGAGAAGTTCTCAAGCTTTTCAAGTATACACATCATACTTAAGACTCTTTAACACTAATTCGGGATAATATGTGTTTACTGACAAAATAAAAGAATTTTTTGAAGTTGGTTAACTGTCGGACATAATACATTTTGCTGTTTTGTGCACGCGACGTTATTTTGACATTCCGAGGTAAGTGCGTGCTTCCAGATTCCTTTGTTTCACTAATACATATATGTATAGTATATAGTAGTTTTATGATGCATAGGTGATAAAGTATCAAGTTGATTATACCATTGAACAAGACAATCTTTAGATGCTTTAAATATCAGCGCTACTGATAAGACTTTATCATTATATAGAACATGTAGAACATGTATTTGGAATGATTGTCATATGCAAGGATGATTTAGTTTTAAGCCATATTCATGGAGATCACGAGGCCGACCATGCAATTAGTCAAAAAATATTCTAGGATTTTTTTTCCACGTGAGCTCGCGCTAATCCTATTTCAAACAAACCAATCGTCTTCTAACTGGTTAACTGTACATGTATGCCGTGTTCCAGGTGAGATGGAGAATGCCGATCAGTAATTAGTTCCAGTAATTTCATACATCAAGCTGACCGTAAGATTCTATTAGCCTGTGTGTAGCCATAGAGAACTCCGCATCTAATGTGTATATTATTCCGTATGTATACAATTATAAATGAAGTACGGGACAGTGTATAATAATATTTCAGAAAATTGTAACTTACACGTTGTAACCGACTATACTAGGATATAGATTATATTATCTTGCACATAAATTAAGATATGATATATTTGATGGAATTGTACTATTCTATGTCGCCTCCTTTACGTTCCCGGTAGCCAATTTAATAAATGATTCGAATATTAAAAATTTTTGTTGGAATATTTATTTGTTTTCTATCGGAAGACATATATTTTATACTAGATAGCAACGTGTCTAATTAGCATTTCATTTATAAGCACACATATATACACGATATATTTAATTAGCTGTATTACATAATGAGTATACAGATGTTTGAGAACAAAACCATTAAAATATACAGATATAGTGAAAGAGGATTATGTGAGTGTATGTCTGAAGAGGCTATTTGAACAATCTACACCAGAAAATTTTCTTTGATGCTATTAATTGCACTTCTCTAACGTATGTAAAAATATTTACATTTTCAACCAAATGACCATTTATAAATATACTAAAATTATGCATGAACTGACTTACGTTTTTCAAGTACACATATTTTAGTTTTATTAGCATTTATATTCAGACCCCATTTACATGAATATTAAAATAAACATTATCAACTTGTGCCTGCAAGCTTACAGGGTCAGTTGTAAACAACACAATATCGTCTGCAAAAAGTAACAAATATTTAGGTATTAGGTTCTAGGTCATTGTTAGACATTTCGTTAAGATCAGTATCTTTAAAAAATAGAATAAACAACAAGGGAGATAATAGCTGCGGAGATAGGGTAGCTATTCATTAGTCAGGATTTCTTCTGTCCGTCCTTCTGTTGTCAAACACGTTTATCGTAGATCTATTTAGAAACCTTAACTTTTGATTTTTACCGAACTGTAATGGAATAGTCACTACGACTACGACATACTAAATAACCTATGAGGATGTACAAAAAAACTCGACCGCATTTATCAAAATCTGTACTATTTCATATGAAAAAATTAAACAAAAATCATCTAATTTTTCATAGATAAATTTATAATGGATCTACCACCGCCATATGAGAGCACCGAACTTGAAGAAGGACATGATAATACAAAGTTAGGTATATGCCAGGGACCTGCTCAAGATGTCTCCACAGAAACGTTTAATTCAAACGATGAAGGTGATATTTCAATGGATACATTCATATCTAAAGATGTCGGAGAACAAACGAGACAGGTAGATCTATACTTTTATACATTTGAAACCTTTAAAATTAAGATGTTTCCACTTTATAATGTTTAAAATAAATTATAGTGCAACGTGTTGTTGTTTTGTTGACATTTTCTCACTTCGTACAAATTTATACGTTTTGTTACAACACATTCTGGTTTTTGGTTAATTTTGAACGCCTTGTTGCAAAGTAGAAAAAATATCTATGTTTTCAGTGTTTATTAAGATATATATTGTTAGGTAGAGGAGTTTAAAGAAATTTGCAAATTTTTTTCAAACGGAAATCAACATTACAGGGGCCCCCATTTGTCGCAAATGACCCCCAGAGAGATTGAACCTAACCGAATATTTCACCGTTTGTCTCTTCACAACTCTTAAAAACCCTTTCTCTAACCGTAAAAATTTTGTGTAAATTTAAGAGGCGTTCTTTTTTCCCATTCTTTTGGGTTTCATTGAAATTCTCTGCATAGCATTCAGGAAGATATAATATTTAAATTGTTAAAATTTACCCGCAATAAAAATACAATTGCAAATAAAAAAAAATAGTTTGTTAACAAAATTATGATGTTGAAATTAATTTAAGAAATGAGAAACACTAAAATTTTTAGCCAAAAATTTTAAAGCCTAGTTTTTCTGTGCTTTTTGAAACTAATTGACTCATTTTAAGCTTTATTTTTTTTTGGGCTGCTTTTTGTATTTAAAAGCATTGTTTTGCACGATCATGATTCATATTTTTAATGTCCATAGCTAGAGATATTTGCAAATCATTTATTTATATACGTTTGAATATTCTATCTGATTTCTTTAATTTAGGAGACCTAGTTATGTTTTATTCATTTATCTTTATTTCAGTTTCCGGTTCGGCGATGAAGGTTCGGTTCGGTTGTTGGTTGTCACATTGCTCGTCTTACTTGGTGTAGCTTACCATTATGTCAAGAAACTTTACGGTGTTTTCCTGTATACTAAATATATGAGACCATTTATTGGGAAATATAACAGATATCGTACGCTCATCATCACGTAAGTAGTACTCTCGTTGATTCTAATTCCTGTCATTTTATCAAACGTTTACGGTACATCAAATTATATAGTGATATAGAATTAGATTTCATCCGCTGTAAATATTTTCATTTCTTTGTAACTAAAAGGACACATGTAAATGCAATGTAAAAGAACATCACGTGTTTGTAAACTTTAGCGTCTTTGTAGATACGCCGCTTGTGACCTGTTTCATGAAAACATTCTTCACCTTTATTTTTTTTGTAGGATTTTAACATGTCTTGTAGCAGTAGCTGTAGTATTGTTTATCATCATAGACACTTCCCTCAGACGTCCCGCGTCTCTTGTTAGCGGCGTGGGCATGATCATCTTCACATTGCTCATGTTCTTTCTTTCCAAAGATCCCAGACAGGTTGGTGATATATATTGGTACACACAGAATATATATTATATTTAACATTTGCAAAACATTCGTGCTTTCTTGCGGAAAGGTAAATTGTAAAGCCACAGCAAGAGCACTGATTTTTTGGACATAGTATTAAGAATGGCGATTAATTATAGTTTATAACTTTATATCAAAAAAAGTCTTGTTTAATAAGTTAACTTATGCTGAATCTTTCTTAAATATTTCAGATTACTTCATCGTATTTATCTCGTGACATACTTAGTATCGGGGGCGGGGGTGGGAGAAATTATTGACGATAGTCACATGATATGGATAAAAATACAAACCTCAATGGGATGAAAAATTATTAATTTGTCTAAAATAGATGCAGTTTTACTGAAGTCGAATTTAAATTACTGAAAATAATTAAATCCCCAAAAAAGAAAATTTCCCCTATTTATTTTTATGTGGGTGACAGGGCCCTATTCAGGGGGTTCACTTTACAACTGATTTTGCTAACGTTTTAAAAAACTGACTGGGGTACCATGCCTTCTTTTCTGGCTTGGTGGGAAGTTCCCGAAAAAACTTAAAACAAAAATAAAAGGCCCCCAAAAATTTGTTTTGGGATAATTTCATGGATCACTTTTTTGCATTTTCTGTAAGTATTTGCAACTGATAATATTAATATAATACAATTTTTCAGTAGCGGCAAGACAGTCAAAATCAAACATGTACAGGATTTTTCTAGTTGTTGTGTATTTAGGAACAGTTTCTTTAAAAAGAATTTGATAAAAATGTACATGTATCATAATGATGAATTAAACTCTCGAAACTGGTGGAAAAAATTATGTGATATCTGAAATAGGTCTTTTCATAAACTTTATCATGTATTTATTGAATATATACTACAGTAACCTTAATCGGCTTTTCTTTAGTTTCGGAGCTGAATGTTTGTAAAACGAAAAGCAGTAGAACTACAAGTACATTGTATAACCATGTCTTAACATCACAAAAAAAAATCAAGTTTTGTAATTGATTGTTTTCAGGTTATGCCAGTCATCATTTTCTTCAGCGCGTCTATCGGCGTTCTTTATTACCTCGGTGTTATACAGCTTCTTATAGAGAAGATAGCATTTATAATGGAGTTCAGTTTAGGAACTGGTGCTATGGAATCACTCCATGCTGCAATCAATATATTTGTCGGCTGGGTAAATATCTTATATTTCCTTTCCTTTCTCAACATTTGTTTTTGTAAAAAGTCACTTATTGATACGCATGATTCTTAAAAAATAAAATTTTTTTGGATAATGAATTTACTTGTTCGAAATCTTGGTCTTTCTTATTCTAATCTATGAATGGAAATATTCGACATGTTCTCCCTGTATCATTGTCCATATCTCCTTGGTCTTTAAGGTATTCAATGATTATTTTAATCTTTTACTTTAATGAAATTGGTCACTAATGTATCAAAATCATATTTGTCTACCCATAATTACAGGCTGAAGCAATAACTGTTGTACGACCTTTTCTGGAAAGTATGTCAATTTCCGAGTTACATACAGTAATGACAAATGGGTTTGCCACTGTCGCTGGAAGTACACTTGCTATCTATATATTATACGGGGTAAATGTTAAAATTATAGCTTCTTTCCCACAATAAATATCTATAAAACAATAAATACTTAACTAGATATACATAAATAATTACAATTTTATTTCATATGCTTTGCCTCATATGTCAGAAAATAATAATAAAAAATTATGTCGAAGAATAATAATAATGAAAATTCTATGGACTAAAGAAAAGCGATTATAATATAATTTATACAACGTATTTCTAAATATATGATTGATAATTAAAACATTAAATATACATAAATACTGGTTTTATAGGCTCCAGCAAACCACCTGATTTCAGCGTCTGTAATGTCGGCACCAGCTGCACTAGCCATGTCCAAACTCTTCTATCCAGAATCCAAAGAAAACCGACATCGTCGTGTAGAAACTGTTAAATTACAGCGGTAATATACTAGTAGTTTACCGTTTATTATTTGATTATACTAAATTTAACAAATAATTACAAAAATTCAACAGGTAGATTATGCAAAAATAGCCCTTAATTACTGAGTTAGTCACGCAGTAGAGATAAAGAAATTGTACATGTCCTATAAAATTAGTCATTAATTGCATATAGCATGTTAATTATTTCTTGAATTGAGAATGTTTTTACTTTTCTGAAAATTTTCGTACATTTTTGTCAAGGTTGGTTTTCTTGACATATTTTGGCTTATCTTGAGGCATGCAAGTATTAAATACCGTTTTTCTCTCAGTATACTATCATAAGAAAGCACATGCGTAATTCTGTATTACATGTTCTATCATAAATATTTTTACAACTGATATTCCATAAATTATTCACGAATTTATTTGTATTTTTATTATTATTCATTGCTATTATTTGACATGATTTAAGAATGGGTACAGGTATTATAGACGCTGCATCTGTTGGAGCAGTAAGTGCGATCTCCATTGTTGCCTACATTCTTGCCAGTGTCATAGCTTTCTTCTCCCTGCTAGAATTTCTCAACGCAACCCTTCAGTGGTTTGGTGAGAGAGTAGGTCTATCGCCACCAGATTATCCTCCGCTCTCATTTGAGGTAAATATTTATCTTCGACAATTTTAACTATAGTTATTTGTTATTTTAATACTCGACCTATTATACTTATAGTAGCACCTTTGGTCAAATACACAGATATAAACAGTCTGACTAGAACCAAGCTCCTGAAACCGCCACAGCTAGGAACACTACACTACATTTGCACTACATATTTAAGAAATTATATATATACATGTATAGTGTTTTTTATGTGTACCACTATTATTTTTCATTTGTTAGAGTATTGATCATGTTGTAGCTTTTGGTGATTTCTAAAAGCCTCATATCAATGAGATAAGTTCTACATCATTAAAATGAAATATAATGCTATACATAATTTATGTAATTTATGATAAATGACGATGATGAAATATTGCTTTTCATTTTCTCTTCAACAGTTGATTTGTTCCTATTTATTCTGGCCAATAGTCTTCCTTATGGGCGTGGCACCGGAAGATTGTCGAGTTGTTGCTCGAATGGTCGGAATAAAAACATTTGTAAACGAATTTCTGGCTTATGAAGACCTCGGTAATGTAAGGCGTAATAGAATTAACTTAATAAAATATCTTTCTGGCGGATATATCAGTGGTAATCAAGTGGGAAATGGAATTACCAACAACTGGTCAAATATAAGTCTTCAGAATTTAACAGTCAACACACAATTTAACAATTTGTTGACGAATGGTAGTGCGTATGGTTGGTCATCGAATGGCTATGATGAAGTTGTACTACAGGGAACAAATATCACACTAAAAGGTGGAATAATCTCAGTAAGTGTCCACGATCTAACCCTTGTTGATATATTCTATACATGATATAATCGTGACATACACAATGTTCAACACCATCTCATTTAAGAAGGTATCGGTGTTCTCATTAAGTAGTGATGGAAACCATTTCTCAGTTGTTGTTTTTCCTTTCTTAAAAAAACTTTACCAATTATTGTATTTGTAACATTATTAACTATTATTAAAGAAACATTATCTCAGATACATTAATTTATCCAATTTCTGATACGAAAATAATCTGGTAAATTTTGGAATATTTATCTACACAACAGAAGACTTTAATCTATAATGTCCAAATTTGGTAGTCTTCCCCAACTTTACTGATACATTATGTTTGCTTTCAACAGGAGCATTCGGAGATGATAGCAACATATGCTTTATGTGGCTTTTCCAATGTTGTAGCACTTGGAATCATGATTGGTGCCCTATGTGCTGTTGTTCCCGACAGGAAACAAGATATTATGAAGGTTTCAGTGAGGGCACTTATATCTGGCAGTATGGCTTGTTTTATGACAGCGTGTATATCAGGTACACTGTAAAACTGATTGTACTTAGTTTCTGTTATATTACTGTAGTGATTTTATTGCTTGCATTTCTTGGAAATCTAATTTAATTGTGTTTCTTTTCGTGACCGATTATATGTTTTATCGAGGAAACACCATACATGTACATATGTAACTTGTATTCGTTCTATTTATAGGTTTGCTCGGCGACAGATGATGGACCGCCGTTTGGATCGATTCAACACAGAAGTTTTTCATCTAACAACATATGAAACTATATTAAAGGAGTGGTTCTTTAAAGACATTTTACAGTTAACAGGCTTATGACGGTAGCCAGCTTAGTGTTTGATAATATATTACCAGAAGTATAAAATATCAAAACGAGACAGTTGTTATAATCTATATCTATCTCACACATCTCCTTATTAAACGCTAGACCAATATCATCCAAACTGTACAGGAATGTTCCTCGGGTGGTCACCTTTGGAAGTTGTTCAAAGAATAGAATTACACGCAGAACCCTGTTTGCCGTTTCAACGGAAAGAAAAAAATGAAAAAATCTTTGAAAACCCTAAAGAGCTTAGATATTTATCATGAAACATCTTCTAGTGGGTGTCTACCAAGTTTGTTCAAATAAAAGCTCTGGTGTCAAAATTGGCCCCACCGAAGGGGGTATTTGATTTTCCTTATATAGTAAAAACTATAAAAAAAACAAACCTCTAAATCTACAAGAGCTAAAGCTTAGTTTCCATAACAACTAGTGACAGTTTCCATAGCAACCAGTGACTATTCATAGCAAACTGCAAATTTTCGTAGCAACCAGCAGACTTTAATTTTCCATATTAACGATTGAATCTACCATTGAATTCCATCTGCTTTCATTTATAGTTTACAATATTACTTGTTCCTTGTGATGAAGAATATTTATATTCAGGTGAGCGATATTAGGGCCATCGTTGCCCTCTTGTTTTATACAGTGGTACCAATATATGCATTAACAAAACGCACTACTGAAATATGTATGTAACAGTTCACTTGAATAATAATAATAATAATAATAATAAAAACAAACAAACAGACAATGCTATGCGTGCTGTTTCTTTTCCAAAATGTTAACAAATCTGTTTATATTTCTCCGGAAGAGTGCAAAAAGTACAAATATAATTGAAACTTTTGTCATCATATTAACAAGCAAATTCGTTGAATTTATATCCCCCGCCGAGTACAGGGCTCCGTTTCATGGAGAGTCCTAAGTTAATCCTAAATCCTAGGACTTATGACCAACTTTAGGAGAAAAAGTTTTTGCACTTAAGACCGTTTCAAGTAACTGTCCTATCTTTTGTCTTAAACTTAAGACTTATGACCAATTCGCTCTCCTGAAAAAAGTGACAAAATACAATGGCACGCGCTTAATCCCGGATTGGATTTACTATGTAATTGATTATAGCAAGTATAAAAAGTAATGTATTGCCCTCTTTTCATGTTGAGTGAAAAAATATACCATATTTCACGAAAAACGATTAAATAACCGTTTTATTTAATTTCATAGTAAATCAAAGCACAGAAGGCGCTGAATTTGTTTGGGTCTCAGAATGTCAGAAAGGTAATGGTTGTGAGATTATAAAACAATTTGTTTTTGTATAGTGCCACCAATGCTTTCCAGCGTTTTAATTGTAGTAGAATGGCTATAAGACTAATTGCGACACTGATATTCGATCCAGTGTTTATTTGACTTAATTAATTTGAAAAAAATGAGCTGCCTTAACTGGGATTTGAACTTCAGACATCTCGCTTCCTAAGCGAGTGCGCTAACCCCTCGGCCTGAAGAAAACCATATTATTCTAGTTAGGGTTTGTAACGACGCTAACTGTTGTTTAACACTTGTGTAAATAATCATGGCGCTTACTATAAGCATGTATATCTATAAAGAATAAAACAATATTAGAAATCTTCGACCATTCGGGAATTATTTTGCTTGAAAATTAATCCGCCTGTCATGTTACCATATTTACGCAGTGATCTCCCCTAAAGTTTTCGGCCTAAGTGTTACATATAAAGGGAAGCAACCGCTTTAAAAAAGCGGACTACTTTCGGCACTTGCAATTAACAGCATTAGAGTCTGAAATTTCGCTACCATTATTTGTTTGGTCTGACGACCCAAACAAATAAAAATGGTTACGAACCCTTTTGCTTGCTACGCAACTGCAATTGTACAGCGCGCAGTAATATTGTTATTTATAGATGCGTCTTGTTTTGCACGCGATATTTGGCGCTACATTGTGACGTCATGTAAACAACTCTTTAAATGTCTGTACAGCGTTAATGACTGAATTAAAAATATTGGTGTTCGGATTTATTTTCTTAGTTAGACCATTATCTATCATTCTAGATAGTTTTCAAAACAAAATTCAACAAAAGTTGTTTGATTTTAGAGTGGTTTTGACTTAGGACAATCTTAAGATACCTTTTAAACACTCCTAGACTTAGGACTGTTTTTGGTCATAAATATAGGAGTCATAAGTTAGGACCTTTTTTAAGACTTTCTTTGAAACGCAAAATTGTCACAATTTTTATCTTAAGACAAACTTAAGACTTAGGACTCTCCATGAAACGCAGCCCTGATTATTACTAACACAACAAATGGAGACAGAAGGATTTATATATTTATAGATCATGGCATAAACAGGAATATTCTTTGTACATAATAAAAATTTAGGGCAAAAACCAGAGGCTTTAACTCCGTGTTAAACAGTATAAAATTATCTGAACATGCAAGTGAGATACAAAATGCCTTTTTTTGTATTGATGTTCCCATTAAGTTTTGTTGAAATCAATCCAGCAGTTGCAAAGAAATAACAATATTGCTCTATATGCATACTACATAACTAATCAAGGGCCATAACTCTTCGTTGAAAGGTCTGACCTGAAAAAGATATACAATGTAATATGCGCATCTCCTCTTGGTACTAATGGCTCCCTTAAAGTTTATTGAATTCCTGCCAGTAGATGCAGAGAATTAGCGCGGAAACAATTATTGCTCCATATGCATACTGCATAACTAATCAAGGGCCGTAACTCTGTGCTGAAGGCTCTGACAGGAACAAGATGACTATATGCTTATCTCCTATTGGTATTGATTGTTTCCACAAAGTTTTCTTGAATTTCAGTCAGACGTTGCAGAGAAATAGCACAGAAACGATCATTGCTCTATATGTGTACTGCATAACTAATCAAGGGCCATAACTCTGTGTTGAAGGGTCTGACCGGAACAATGCGATGATTTGCGCATCTCGTCTTGGTATTGAAGGTTCCAATAAAGTTTTGTTGAATTCCTGCCAATGATTGCAGAGAAATAGCACAGAAACAATTATTGTTCTACATGCATACTGCATAACTAATCAAGGGCCATAACTCTGTGATGCAGGGTCTAACCGAAACAAGGCGACGATATGCACATTTCTTCTTGGTATTGATGGTCCACATAATGTTTCATTGAATTCCTGCCAGTAGTTGCAGATAAATAGTACTGAAATGATTATTGCTCTCAACATGCATACTGCATAACAGATCAAGGACCATAACTCTCTGTTGAAGGGTCTAACCGAAACAAGGCGACGATATGCACATTTCTTCTTGGTATTGGTGGTTCCCATAAAGTTTCGTTGAATTCCTGCCCGAATTTGCAGAGAAGTATCGCGGAAACGATAATTATATGCATATCACAAATTAATCAAGGGCCATAGCTCTGTGTTGAAGGGTCTGACCTGAACAAGGCCACGATATGCACATCTTCACTTGGTATTGATGGTTCCCATATAAAAGTTTCGTTGAATTCCAGCCAGTAGTTACAGAGAACTAGCGCGGAAACGAAATTCGGATGGACGGACGGACGGACAACGCCAAAAACTATATCTCCTCCCGATTTCATCGGCGAGGGATAATAAAGCCCAATAAAATCTCTAGTGTGAAAACTTTTCATTTGGAAAATAACCATGACCAGAATTTTATTACGCGCTTTTTCATACTCGATCGTGTTTTGATAAATGACCAGAAGCACATAAAAAATCGGCAGACTGTTACCCAGGTTAGCTTAATTAATGCTAGCATATACACGTGTTAAGGAGTTGTTACGCTGTGCTTATGTTGCGTACAATGGAAAGACAGCATCTGAAACCCTAAGTTGGACGAAGGTGCTATCCAAGTCTAATATGGGTTTTGCAGTTATGTAGAAGACCAAAAAATCATGTATAATGACTCTTTTACTTCAAATCCATCACCATTTTTTTACAAAAAAAAGAAGACAGAATTTGTTACTTGTAAACGTGTTTACGTGTAGGCCTACTTACTTCTGGTACAATAAGGCTCGAAAGAGTACGTACAATAGTAATTTGATACTCAGAAAATTATAACAAGACCAACAGTAGTTTTTGTTTTGATGTTCAATGCTGTTTAAAAATTAATTGATATATTTTCTTTGTTTCTTGGTCCCACACATTTATTACGGAAACAAGTGATCAAACAAACATATTAATTTGCTTCAATTAATGTTTCCTATTCTGTACTGCAGTATTATCGGACATTGTAAAACAGTAAATTATGCATGTGTTTCTTGTTTGTTAATATTGAAAGATTTTATATTTATATAAAATTAATAATAAAAGATATCATCGTTAAACTTTTGTTGTTGTTTTTATTGTTAATTTTTATTTCATTTCTTGATAAGTGTTTACATTTTAAAGCAAAATAAATAAAAAAAATATGGGGCCGGGTTGACCAGAAATAACATTGGTTTGGGGCCGGGCTGACTTGGGGCCGGGTTGACTTGGGGCCGGGTTGACTTGTACCGGTCTTGACGACAGCGATATTAGCACAAACGAAAGTCGCCAATAACAAAATGGTAAGTGAAATAAAAACCATCGATTTAAGAATATACTGAACGAACAATTTTCTGGCCATTCTGCAAACTTAAAATCATGTTCACCAGCGTACTGCAATCAATTTTAATCTTGATAATTGATACGATTTTATGCACTTTAGTTAAATTTTACAGGTGTACCAGTACGCGGATATGTACCGTTTTTGTGGCTCCTTTTTTTAATTCGGTTAAATCTGATTTTTTAAGTTCCAGGTTAAACAACACTGAATATAATGTTTTCTAAATAAGATTATTTCCAAAGCCAGTGAATGATTTATGTACTAAGCATTCATTGTTCGTTTTTTAATGTGTTAGACTGTTAGATTTTATGAAACATTTTTTTTCAGGACAGATCTATCACTTCAGATGATTAGCAATACTTGACAATTAAATGAAATGTCCTCCCCGTCGCCTACACCAGTACGTGCTATCTATGGGTTTATTCTCTACTTGGCAGCTTATGTGATATTTGGTATGTAAGCTTTCCTTTTTATTCTGAGACTCTTTGCTGGTAATCATGTCAAATTTGTATCAGTGTTGTTAATTGGAAAATCTAATAGAATTAGAACATTATAGGAGTGGGGTGAATTGTCACTGAACTGGGGTGAATCGTTATAAATCAGTTTTTACATTGATAACAACAGTTGAAAGGATCAGTTTCTGAATATAGATAAATATAGATACAGAGAATAATCATCATTAATCTGGGGTCTTCTCCAAATCCCTCCAGAGGCGTGCATGTCACAGAAAAGGCACACGGCAGGTCAAGGTCAAGTCACCTTAAGTACCAGAGATGATTGGTTGACCCGTTGTGACTAACTCTGGAGGGTTGGGCCTGGCGCTAACGAAGGCCCGTTTTGTCATCGTCAGTCAGGAAGCTGATGCCTTGGCAGTATTGTCGACTCCTTCACCACCACTGAACGAAGAATGGGCTACCAGAAGATTTGGCATTAAGAAGACGTCCCCGATAAAAATAACAAGAACAATATACACAAGAATAATCATTACTCTTCATGTAATCAAATTAACATTTATATGTTTTCAGTTGTGTATATTGTATGGGCCTATGTTCCTGATGTGTTGTTAGAAGCTGTTGAGCTGTCATATTTACCCCAGAAGTAAGTTATTTTCTATGAATGAGAGAAGTAGTTGTCATACATGATAAAATAGCTCATTTATTTCATGCATTGTTATAGGCAAGTTATTCACGTCACTCTTAACTGGCTGTGACAGGTACCGTTTTTAAAACATTTAAGTCAGGCTGAGATAATACAAACATTTGATATCTGTATTAAGTTTAATAGAGCATTTATTCATTTGTATATATTGTTACGTGTTCATACAAACATCAGAAAAGTGTAATATATATATATATATATACAGTATTATAGTAACATGTGTAATACAGATGATATATGATAATTTTACAGATACTGGGCAGTGGCTGTACCTTGTTATTTATGTATGTTATGGTTACTGGCATACCCGGCTTGGTTTGGTTACATACATCTTTGTACTGCTCCATTAGATTCCACTGATTTGATATCTGGTTTGTGTTTTAATACTTAACTCATGGTTTATCTTATTTTCATATTTATTATTGATAAAGGAACTCCAGCGGCAGTGTCTAAATATTTCTGGCTTCAAGCTCGGGTAGTGGGGTTATTTCATTCCATGGACAAAGTGTTTCTGTGACAGTCAATTGATTTATAAACAGATGTATTATCAAAAAATATTGCATGTTATTTTAAGCTTGCCTATACAAAGTATAAGGAGAGCTGTCCTACTTGCTCCGGTTTCACTTCCGTGTCCAGATTTCCCAGATTTCATTTTAAAGTTTTTGTGCACTAAAACATTTTTGACTGTAACTTCTCTATTCCTAAGGTATCTACTTCAAACAAATGTTCCTAATAAACAACCACATCATATGTGACAAGGTTCAATTAACTCTTGAAGTTAAAGTAATATTTTCAGAATGATCTCCCCTTGAACTTAGAATATAAAAAAATAACATTTTTAAGAAAAATTCTAACTTCTTTATTTCATAATTTCATAAGGAACCTACTTCAAATATATGTTTCTGATCGTCAACCACATCATATGGACAAGATTCTTAACTCTAGCACCAATATTTTCAGAATAAACTTAAACTTTGAATTTTCCTAATTTTTCTGTAACTTCTTTATTAGCTGACCTGTCACAAAGTGATATGGTAAGCTTTTGTGATAGCTTTTCGTCCGGCGTCCGTCTGTCCGTAAACTTTTACTTTAAACGACATCTCCTTATAAACCACTAAGCCAATTTCATCTATACTTCACTGTAATGTTTCTTTGGTGATCACCTTTAAAAATTGTTAAAAGAATTTAATTCCTTGCAGAACTCTGTTTGCCATGGCAACCAAAAGAAAAAAATTAAATATCTTCTTTTGAGAAACATTAAGAGCTAGAGCTTAGATATTTGGCATGAAACATCTTCTAGTGAGTGTCTACCAGGTTTGATTAAAAAAAAGCCCTGAGGTCAAAATTGGCCGCTCTCCAAGGGGTCATTGATTTTCCTTATATGTATACAGTAAAAACTTAAAAAATTCTCTTTTAAAAAAACTCAAATAGCTAGAGCTTAGATATTAAGCATGAAACATCTTCTTGTGAGTGTCTACCAAGTTTGTTCAAATAAAAGCCATGTGGTCAAAATTAGCCCTGTCTTGGGGGGGGTCATTGATTTTCCTTATATGTATATAGTTAAAACTAAAATAATCATCTTTTAAGAAACACAAAGAGCTAGAGCTTAGATATTTGGCATGAAACATCTTCTATTGGGTTTCTACCAGGTTGTTTAAAAATAGCCCTGGGGTCAAAATTGGCCCGGCCCCAGGGGGTCATTGATTTTCCTTATATGTATTAAACTATTTAGTAAAAACTTAAAAAACTTCATTTGAAAAACTTATATAGCTAGAGCTTAGATATTATGCACCCAGTATTTAATTAGTCAAGCATGCTGTCTTCCCTTACAGATCTTGTTTGAATGGTTCTCCCTCCATGCATTATTTCAGGCTTTGTGACACTGCAAGTTTGTAACATTAATTGTCATTAGGCAATATACATGTCTGCTACAAAGTATGATTGTTGATAAGAATTTTTATACCAAAAAGCAAATGTAGGTTTTTCCCATCTAATAATGTTGCACAAACAAACTTCAACTGTTAAAGCTTCACAGTGCATTACCTTTAACAATACAGTGATCAATGTGTTGCTTTTATTTTCAATATTGTATGAAGTTACAACTGTACAGGATTATTTGTACCCCTTGATTAGTTGGGGGAAATCCTGATATTGTAAGTCCAGAGTAATATCTATTCTGCAGTATTAAACATTTGCAATAAAGATTTTTGACAAGTTAAGTAGCTGTGTATAAAAAGTTGATGTTATGTAACCATTGCTTAGAGGCTTGGGTTATATAATCTTGCCATAGTTTGTACTGGGCCATATAACCTGTCTTTATAAGTAATAATGATACAATGATTTTGCTTCTCGAGAAATGTTTATTTTTTTTTTTTTTCATTTCAGATGAATATTCACAAGTTCCAAATACAAAGAGTGTAATTTGTGCTGAAAGTACTCCTCCATTAGCTGATATTTCCATATCAGATGTGAATAGAAAACTGTATCTATAACTTGTGCAATCCTTGTTAGAGCTTATCAGCATTTAAAAACAATGTAAATGTATTAGACTGTCAAACATTCCATTCAGATATGTAAATAACTGCCTGCTTTGTGTTCATTTTATTTGTATTTGCTCTGCTTTTGGTGAAATGTTCAGTACTTGTGTTGAAAAAGTCTAGAGGAACTTATATATATTGAATAATATATTGAATGCTTTTATTTGTAACTGAAAAAGCTAACAGAAGTGCTTTAGATTAAATTCTCAAGATGTCACATAATGATGAAAAGGAAGTATTTCCTTTCCCGGGAAAAGTTAAAAGCTCTGTCTGGGAATTCTTTGGATTTTACAAAGATGATTTTGGTAACCTTGATAAAAGCAGAGCCATTTGTAAAATTTGTAGAAAAGGGACAAATTATTCTGGTAATACAACAAATCTACGTACTCATATTGTACATCACCATAAAGATGTGGCAGCGTTACCTGATGTTAATTACAGTAGAACTCCAGTGTCACGAAGCACCACCATGCAGAATCATGACAACATTTTTGGCGCGTCAGTTTTGAACCAAGTAACCTCATCTCCTGATGTGTATCCTCAAACCACACCCCCAAAACTTCAGAGGCAAGTTCTTCTCGATGAAATTTTCATTCCTCCTCTTTCTGCAGACATAAGTAGCAACCTAAGTAGAAGTACATCTCAGCAGAACACTTGGGTTATGGAATCTGCAACAGGACTTCTGGATTCGCCAGCTGCATATAGCAAAGAAAGTCCTATTCAAGAGAATTCTAGTGGATCATTTGCTGACTCTGAAACAGACTCATATGGCAGTATTAAAGAGGCTGTTTTTGAAACTGTTATACATGATCTGATACCTATAGAAGCTGTGGATAGCAGTCGCTTTAAAAGATTAATATGTATGGGAAAGAGACAGTCCTTCATGCCTAATTCGCTAGATATATCAGAGCTTATTATGAGACGATTCTCAGAGTTGCAGGCAGTAATAAATAATGAACTCTCCAAGGGAATGCATAAAAATTTGAAATTAGAGATATGGAAATCATTTGATGTCACATACTTGACAGTGTCAGTGCAAGCACTGTTTGATAACTGGAAACTGAAATGTTACGTCCTGGCTACTGTTGAATTGGAAGGCAACTTTGTTTTGAAAGACTTGACAAATATAATTGATGATAGGAAATTATTAGTCAATTTCAAGAACATTTTGTCATCCGAGAACAAAGTTGTAGAAAAATTTGCTGATGAAAAAAATCGTGTTTATCTGGTTTCTTTATGTAGCACAATCAATAAAGTTGCAAAGTTATGCTTGGAAGAAAATGTTAGTGAAAAGTTAATAAGGAAAGTTGGTAAAATTGTGAAATTGTTGACGGAAAATCAAGAAGCTAAGTCGGTGTTTTCTGACAAACAGAAGGTTTTACAGTTACCTTTTCGAAACTTTGTGAAATGCAATACAAAAAGTTGGCATTCTATTTTAGCAATGTTTGAGATAACAATTGAACAAAGTAATGCCATTATTGCTACATTAAGTGATGTTAAACTTAAAACCATAGATGTAGGTGATCAGTTGACAGCTGGAGACTTTGCACAAATTCAGACCTTCATTACCATGCTGACACCTTTGAAAACTGCTTTGACTCTGACAAAAGACATGAAATATCCTACTGCTGCAGTTATTTTACCAGTGTTGAAAAAATTAGAGATAAGTCTGGCTACCAGTGAAAACGATTCCCAGCAGATCATTGACCTGAAGTCTTTGATGGTTAAAACACTTAAAGAACATTATGAAACTAAGGGTAGAAGGCAATTTCTTTTGTTATGCTCTTTGTTAGACCCAAGATTTAAAGGATTAAAGTTTGTTAGCCAAGCCGACTGTGATCTTGCCTTTGAACATTTGAAACGTGATGCTTTGGAAATTACGAATTCGTTCAAAGTAACAGAAGACTTGAAATCTCATCATGTTGATAAAGTTGTTGTGAAGATAGAGGCTGTTGATGATTATTCTGACAACCAGGGTATAGGCTTTGATTTGTGTTCCAAAAGTTTGGAAGATGCAGACGGGAGTTCAGACCCAAATCAACGAGTCAAAAGGCAGAGGCTCATGAAGAATGCTCCTAAAGCCGGTGACAATGCAACAGATGACTGGTTTGCTGATGTGATTCAGGAGATTAAAGAAGGTCAGCCAGAGGAAGACAGTGTCACAGTCGAGGTCAATAGATACAAGGGTGAGATGCAGATAAGTTCAGCATCATCACCGCTTGCATGGTGGAGGGACAGACAAACTTCGTTTCCATTGTTATCTCAGGTGGCAAAGCTGTATGTGTCTGTTCCGGCTTTATTAGGAACAGAGGATGAATCTACAGAAACATGGTATCAGAGACAGAGAAGAAGCATTCGACCAAATCTTGTGGAACCTATAGTTTTCTTGCATGCAAATTATGATAAGTTGAAGCAACAGAGAGACGAATTCTGAGTAAATGGTGAAAATGATAAATAAAATGTAATAGATGTGTGACCTACACGTATATTGAAAATTCATTTAGATGTAATTGTGTTAAAGTGATAAGAATTATATCAAAACTACTTTTTTTGTTTTCTAAAAATTGTCTCTAATTTACAGAAAATGACAATATTGGTCACTTCTGAAGAAGTGGTTGTATTATTATGGTGAATGTTCAAGCAAGAGATTGCAAATATAGCGTGCTTTTCCATTTTTCTGTCCATCATCTAGTTATACTAGTGAAATTCTATATGCAGTATTCTGCAATATGAATATGATAGCCCTATGTTATGTCGGTCAAAAGCTATACATAGCTTATGTTTTGTAAAATGTTATATATGTATACCGACAATAAATAAATTTTGATTTGAAATTTTGATTTGATTTGATGTAACGGGTAGATCATGACTGAATATGTGTTAATGTTGCAAGTTTTAATGTAATGTTTAACTCCTTTGAATATGTCATAGGCGTTTTATCAAATTTAAAAGTCTTGTAAATACTAAAAGCTTGTTGTTTTCAGTTTGTTTGGCTTAACTGTTCAAACATTGTCGTCAAGTACGATATTAAACGAAATTCTCCATTGAATGGTAGTAGATAAATAAGTCATGAAAAAACATATTATAATATTTTTTCAGTGGTAGATTTAACGCAGCATAGCAATCCACTTGGTATAACAATGTATAAATCATAGAAAAGGGAGAGAATTTCATGTCTGATATTTGAATAATTGATTTATCTGTTGTGCTGGATTTAACGTGACACTGACACAATTTATTTCAATTAGGACACATATTTAAGTAAAAAATGTGTGCCCTGTGACCGATAGGACGTTATCAGTAGTAGTAGCAAATGTTGGTTCCGTTCCGTTGCGCAAACTATGAATAGCCCTATATTTATTCATATTTGCGATAAACAGCCCTGAAAATATGGAAAGGTTACAAGTAACCACAAATATGTGGGTCGTCATTTCCGAAACGTAGTCATTGCTATTAATAGATTCAAATCGGAAATTCCACATAATATGCTATTTCCTTTTGATTAATCATATTGAAGCAGATTTCAAAAGAATTGCACTGTATACTCTTTATTGCTGTTTAGAATTAAAACAAAAATGCTGTATACGTAAATAATTCAGCTGACATGGCGAATAGAGATCTATGATGTTATTACAACCGTCCGTCCAGAATTGGGATTGTATTTAAAAAAAATTATGTTTACTCATGCACAATCAAACATACAAGGTCAATGCATTTTTGTATTCGATTATCGGATCTGTCTTTGTAGCTTATTTTGAATTTCTTATACAATTTGTATATACATTTGAGCCGCGCAATGACAAAACCAACATAATGGGTTAGCGACCAGCATGGATCCAGACCAGCCTGCGCTTCCGCGCAGTCTGATCAGGATCATTCCTGTTCGCTATCAGTTACTGGTTTGTAAGCAAAAATCATGGATCCTGATCAAACTGCGCAGGCGGGTCTGGATCCATACTGGTCGCAAACCCATTGTGTAAGGTTGGTTTTGTCATTACGCGGCTCATTTATAGATATATAAAATGGATTTACCAAGCATCGAGAAATGACGCATATGTAAAATCAATCATTGTCAATATGATTTGCCTAAGTTTATTTTTTCTTGTTGAACTGAAAAATCCCATGTCCCATAAAAATAAACAATTTTACGCACGGGTTTCACAGTATGCAGATATGACGCATACATGTATTTACAGTTCAAAAATTTAATTGTTACACATAGGCCTACTTCTATATTTATAAATATGTGACGTTTTTTTTATCAATAGATCTGAGGTGAGCGGTTTTGTATGCGAAGGGGGTACCCATTCATCAAACATGCTTGTTTTGTTTTCTTAGTCATGGGCGTATTCTTGATTACATAGAGGATATTTGTTTGTTTTGCATGTAAGATTGAAATATAATTTCACTGAGTGAGCACCAGATGCAATATTTTCACGAGTGGCGTAGCCACGAGTGAAAATATAATATTTAGCTGGTGTTCACGAATGAAATATATTTCAATCTTACATGTAAAACAAATAAATTTTCTTTTTATTTCATGCTTTTTAAGTAATTTTAAGTATTTTTTACTGATTTTGCCGCGTAACGTCGCGCATTCTCTTCTGTGACGTCATCACATCATGACGTCACATCATAAATTTTGAAATATAGTTCTGTTAAATTTCTCTAATTTTGTTACATTTTTTACATGATGTATGGTGACATCGACTTCCTTTCCTATAGAAGCAAAATTTACGTATGATGACACTTATTTCTGCCCGTTATTCCATTTAGTTTAATTTTCTTTTCATCCGCATTCAGATGTAGTCCGGCTACAGTGAAAATTATATTTTATAAATTTCACTAGTGGTTTATCACAATTTATTTCATGCTTTCCAGTGTTTAATTGTAATATATCAGATAATTATATTGTGATATTACAATAAAACACTGGAAAGCATGAAATAACAGGTACTAACGAAATAGGTCGAGTACAAGCAACTTTAATAACAAAGACAATGTATTGATGATATGGGCGTGTATATTTTGAAGGTCACCTTTCTTTTATTATATGACTTACAAAAAGTGTAATGATATGATAATTCTAGTACCAATTTACTCTATTTAGTCATGTCTGTAATCACAGATATATAAACAATTTATCACCATGCTGTAACTCGAACAGAATGGTTTTGGTCAGATAATGAAATGTGCTTACGTTTATTAATGAATTTTGTTAGTTATCACTACCCGTACTAGTATACATAAAACTGCAATAGGTGGAGCTGTATAATGTTATTACCCTAGTTTGTGTATGTGATCGTGTTCATACTTCGTGTTTCAAATATATTGGTACACATGTCCTCCCTAACAGACGAAAGGTCCAATACTCAAAGGTCAAAGGTCACAGCAAGGTATCGAGCTAAGTGTTGTTTTCATATAGTCTGATGTTCTGGTATTTCAAAATGAATGTGCATATAGGACCACTATGAGTAGACAATGTGTCTCGTCCAAGTACCAGGTCTATAGCTGTAAGGTCAAGGTCACAGCAAAAGAATGAGCCAACAGTTCACGTGCCTTTAAAGTTTGTGTCCAGTCATATAACTTTTGCATGCATAATAGGATTTCATTGTGGTTATCGTATAGGGATGACATGACATGCTTTCATTATTTCCTAATGGATATTGTGCAGAATATAGAATATTGATTAAAAACGGAGTGAAATGGATTTTTTTCCATTTTTTTTTCTAAATATACTAGTATCTCGTTAGTACAATAAATCTTCAAACCTTGGCTAATGTAACATTATGTATGCCCGCTATGTATAACCAATACTCTTCACATAGTTAGAGAGGATATATTAATATCACACGTATAAATTTTCAAACAAAAGTCATGTAATGCTTTTTATATGGTATAAAATCTTGTACATTTACTATATAATTGTGTTCTCATTGACCTTTAAAGTTGTAAAGAAACTCGGGTAATCCCCGTTGCATTGATACATTTTAAACTGTTTTTGTGTTTATATCAGTAAAGGCACATTATATGCCACAGAAACAAATAAATATAAACTTCTTAAATAGAGCAAAACTAAATTAAGTATAATTTGAAAAATTGTTTTAGAGCATGTTGACTGCCTCTTACAAAAAGACCGCTAAATGTAAAATAATTTTAATTAATTTGTCACAAAAAGTGATATGTAAACAAAGTCTTCCAAGCAAAATACTAACAACTTTACTTAATAAATCATCATATAATTGTACTGACTGCCAAATAACACCAGAGGTAATTGGCCAATGAATTACTTTTTTGGAAAATGTAAAGGTACACCAAAAAAAGAAGAGTTTTTTTAGAGAAAAAATAAATAAATAAATAAAAGCATTTCTGGGACACACTGTGCCAAAATTTCCATTTTATTTTTTATGTAGATATAGTGGTATTTCAAAATCGATCAATAATGTCTTATGATATAATCGATAAAATATAAACAACATTGAAATGGGCTAACGTTAATGCGATATTCTGATAATACATGGTAAACATGTACATAGAGGATATTTGTTACTGTGTAAGATGAAATTTTATTTCATCGAGTGGGCTTTAAAAACAGTATTCTCACGAGTGGCGTAGTGAAATAAAATCACATCTTACACACCAAACATACAAATTTTCTTTTTATTTTAAAAACAATTTAAAACGAAATTTCCTTGATATTAACTTTAATATTAAAATCTGTTTTCCCCACTGGTAACCTCTATTATGTACATGTATTAGTCGAATTTCTCATAAAATACAAGAAATCTTGAGCTGAAAAATAAGTTCGACAATCAACGTTAAATGGCGATGGTATTATTCATTTTATTAAAAAAAATATGAATGATCGCTTGTTTTAATAATAAAAACAAACAATTATAGTAGGAGAAAAAGTCCAACCATCCATCCATATTTCTGTTACTTACTGCGAATTTATATTAGACCTGGCTTTGTTAAATGTAAGCGGCCGCCATTTTTAAAAGTTGTGTATTTCACGGGAGGAAAATAATTGTGTTTGATTCAGAGGGATATCATTTGGATTTGTTAGTCATACACCTTTTTAAAAGAAAGAAAACTTATTTGAGGATTGTAACAGACAATAAATAAGTGTTGACAGAAGTGTAAACATTCAAAAAGCGGCTAGGAAATTGGAAAACTTGGAAAGTTGAAAGGCTGCCTAACGAACGCTGGGTTGTTTACTTATTCTTCGGGCTGATGGCTGTCATTGCTTTTCAAGTTTTCATAAAGCATACGGCAGTTATTGCTCGTAGGATACTTAAATATGCCCAAATGTCATCAAGAGCAGTTTTGCATGTGGAAGGAATGTATTTTTCAGACTGTCAAAATGAAACAAAAAAAACTAAAACAAAAAGAAAAAGAGACAATATTAGGTGATTGGTAATTTGAATGGATAGGAGTAAATTTTCTTCTCTTATTACTTTTGACATTTAAGTTATTTATAAATTTCAGCTTTACTTTTCTCTGAACAGCCTGACATTGTCAGAATTGTCAGCAAAAATAAAATTGAGGTACCACATGGGGGAAATCTTAAGAAAGTAGTTTCGTCATTGAAAAGTGTGAAATTATATTTAATTATTTTCACTGTGAAATTATCAAATATAATTTTCACGGATAAACCAGTAATCCACTGAAAAGCATAAAATAAAACACGGTATTTCTTTAAAACATCTTTATTTCCTAATGAAATGATATGACTAAATGAGTATTAAATTAATTAACATATTTACTTGAAATATATACATGAACATGCAACATACACTCTTTGTAGTATTTTAAAATAACTAATAAAGAATGAGTGTGTTTGTTTATCTGTAACCGAACTCGGCATTTCTGCTCACATTCTGACTACGCGTCATTAGAATGTCCGCGGTATTCACCATTGCTATGACATGCGCTAGTTCCGTTTTCTGCTGGTATCCCATCACTATAGTGTAACGCCGTATATGCCGGTGAAGGAACGGAAAGTCTTTTGTAACGTGTACCGAGCGGATGTACAACGAATATATAATAAATTTTTCTTTGGGCTACCTGCCGTTTGATTAGACACAAATGATTATGAAATTATCATATATCATAAACAATCAGCTTGAATTAATACTCCAAAATACACTATTAAATTCTAAAAAGTCTAAATATAGTAAATATCTTTACAATATTACACAATGAAATAATTCAAAAGCTATAGATATCACGCTGCAACCCGATAATTTCCTATAGTCCAGCAACTACCTCCCTATCTATGAAGCGAGGCTTCTATTTAGATAGAAAGATAAGCTGCTGGCAGGGATTTACAACAAAGTTCCAACTATTTTATCTATACAAACTTATTTGTTATTAGTATACCTCTGGATTTTTAATACCTATATGTTACCAATTCCCTGATAGCGAGGCTTTCAGAAAATGTGGAGATCTATAAGTACCCAGAGTCAAATGCAATTCACAAACTTAATATATTACCTCTACATCCATGAAGCTAGGCTTCAATTGGATAAACAAGAGTATTTAGTTTTGGCCAATTCTTCTTTTCTACCTATGAAGCTAGGCTTCAGTTAGGTGGACGAAATTATCCTCAATGTATGAAGCGAGGCTTCAGTTACACAGAATAACCTGGTCCCGGTGAATTCCTCTGCAGACTGAATAATTTTGATCTAATCGCCGTATTTATACCTGCTGAGATGATCGCTCAAGCATGACTTAATTTTCATTGGCTGATTAGAATGATAACTATCACTGAGACGATTATTATATTATATGATATAAAACGTTTATTGAAAATACCTATAAAGTACCGTAAACTAAAATACATTGTCGCAATATAAACAATTAACATAATAGTCAAGTAACACTAAAATCATTTCAGCAAACGATAATCTTAAATAAAAACAAGCTGAGTAAAAATGTCTAAACGTTACACTTCTATCGATACGACAGTACTGTTTTACTGTTTTATTGTTTTATCACATTATACTGACATTGTGCCTATCAGTGTGTTAATGTTGAGTAACTGGTATTACCTGGTATTACGTTGGAATAACGTTACATTTTGCCATAATTGTGTTCATTTTTTTTTTTTTTTTTTTTTTTTTTTTTTTGGGGGGGGGGGGGGGTCTTTTTTAATAATTAAGGCAGTTCTTTTTAAAAAAATTTATCCTTAACATTTTTAATTAATGGTCAATCACTTGAAATATATAGTATTATTTCAACTCTACTTCACAGCGAAAAATGAGCATAAGATCACTTTAAAATGAGACATCTTTAAAAGATATTAACGGGATAATTGTATTTTTCATGTTTGATTCAATCATTGTCCCATTTTATTATTTAATAAAATAAATAAATCGAAACCAGGACCCCCGAGACTCCTTCACAAATTTACCTAAATCTTTCGACTTGACCTTTTTCTCGACCTTTGCTTCTGTCGATTGCATCGCCTCTGTATTTTCTTCAAAAATTTCAAAACTTTCCTTTGTTTTTTTACTCTTTTAGGCCACTGATACAAGTTGTCGGAGGGATTCAAATAGAAAATGACATTGTCCAAATAATCTTTTGTTGTAATTGTGAAATAACTTCTCCCAACTAAATTCTTTTTTAAAGGACTGTATTCGTCAAACTTAATGCTCATATGGCCCGTCTGATCTGGTATTTTCATCAAGTCTATGCCTTTATTGGTTGATAAAGGTGAGCGCAATGGCCACTTTGATATTGTAGCATGCATTACAGGACGTGTCACGTTGCTTCCAGTACGGCCGGTAATGTCGATCTTGTAAACTAGAAATAAACGAATCATTTGGTTTATTAAATTCAGTTTTCTTTTAATATTACATTGTTGTTGTGTGACTCATATTTGCAGTCGTCGTACATATCATATATGCTATATCCTAAATTTTCGGAAAACTGATTATCAGATTACAGTATCAGTAAGATTGTTATTATCATTTATTATAATGTTTATTTTTCTGGATGTAATATTATGCATTTCGTTTCTCATGTATATTATATAATTTATTAAAAATGTATATTATGTAATTGTTTACAACTTAACTTCAGATGACTGTTTCAAATGAAACATTTAAATGAAACTTATTAATATTACTTTTAAAAAGTAATATTAATAAGACCAGTGTAATATAATTATCTGTACTTCTAAGAATTAATTTAAATTAGGTCAGTATCTAATACAAGTAACTATAAAGCAGTTAAATAATAAAAATGCAAAAACAATGTTTCATTTAAAACAGTCATCTGAAATTAAGTTGTAAACAATTACATAATATACATTTTTAATAAATTATATAATATACATGAGAAACGAAATGCATAATATTACATCTCGAAAAATAAACATTATAATACATTTTATAGGGAAACCAGACAGCATTGCTGCGGAGTTAAATATATATAGATATTTTTTTTCTTAATTAAAGAAATGCATGTCATATTTTATATAACTATCGTAACTTTAGAAAACCTACCAAACTGAGGTGTGTGCGTGTCCATGTCACACTTGGTTAGTTCCTTTTTAAGGCCGCTTTTTAAATGTTTCAATTTTTTAGAAAATTTGTCATTTGAAGAAGGGTGTTCACAAGGTAAACGCCTGGAACCACGCTTGTACACTTCTAGAGAGCAACATCTACAAAACAACCTTATAGATTTGTTAATGA